GACGCCGCCTGTCAATCAAACTGGCAGGGGTCACAGTGATAAGCCAATCAGCAATCGTTATCAGTTCCACGCTAAGATGCCTGCGAAGTCCAGCATTTTCCTTAGACAAGCTACTTGTCTTAGACTATGGTGCAGAAGTAATTAAGATTGAAGTTATTTAAATTTTCTGTCAATTTAAGGCTTCTTTATCGATATATTAATTAAATTACCAAATATACTGACGTATTGAAAGATCGAGTACATGTATACAAAACGTGAATAAGTTCCTACGTATGGAAATATTAAGTCCGAAACATTTATCCTGGCTATAATACAATGCATTGAAAATGAATACGTTTAAACAAATCCACTTTTTTATTTCTATTCTATCTATTAATAATCACATTACATATTCCAGGTCCTAGAATATCCAGAAGATATGATATTGTTTTCGTTTATGACGTATAGCGTCAGTAAAATTGCAGCCGTAAAAAATCAAATTTAATGAGTATTACAACCAAAAAGTGGGTGAAATAATCTTACATGAATGTTTCTATTCAAAATCAATAAATTAACATTAAATATTCAAATAGATCTGCCTAATACAAACTTATACCAATAACATCATGCCTGATGTATGTGAAGCTTATTTTAAAGAGAATAATGTTGTATTTTGTCGTGAATCATATCAAGTATATGTTTACGATACAAAATCACATATCATAAAAAGTAAGCCAGGGTATGCAATTTTCTGAATCAATTTTAACAATTCATGAACAAATTTATGCATTATCTAAACTGAATTTCACACATAAAACCCTGAAAAAGTATTTTAAATTTATTTTTGTCACTTACATAACTTTACTGTTTTTGTTTCGCTACTTCAATTTAAAAATAAATTGATTATAACATAATCATATACTTTTCTACATATAATCTCTCTTTGAATTTTAAGATATAATGATAATTTGTCAGTTTTAAATTCTCATTGAAATCAACAGGAAATAACACGATCTTTGGTCATTAATACATGAATGCATATATTTTCCCCCTTTTTTAAAATACCATAATACATTTATACATTGAATAATAGATCTACTATTCAATAAAATATTAAAAGCATCAAAATTATATATATTCAAACTTTATATAAGGTAAATTCATTTGTAACATTAGTGGCATAACAGTTTTGCGAATACAATGCGTATTTTGTTTATGGTCCTGGCGTAATCTCAATTGGTTTTGTACTAATATGTAAATCCGGACTTCCTTTATAATATTATTTTCCTAATAAATAAGATATTCAAAGAGTTGACAACGAGTAAAAAACAAAGAGATAAGCAAACATAACATACTATTTTTTCATTTTTTTTTTGGTTATTCGGAACCGTTTTTGTAATATTTTATAGAGTTAACTTTACATCCGCTATAGCGATAAAACTAAATGCACAAACTGAACATAGTTATATTAAAATAAATAAATGAAGACATAAACAGCTTGAAACATTGAAATCAACTTTATATTAAAATATTTATGTTCTTCGGTTGTTATCTTTATTGCCACGAGTTTTTGATATGTTCTTGTAATTTATAGCCTGATAATGTTTATCCACAATTATGTTTTGACATTTTTATATCATGTTAAGAAATGGAGGTATTTTTTAAAAAATATCAAAGCAGTGCAAATATTTTATAAATGGTATCACAAACAGAACTCATAACATATTGAGAAAGTTTTTTTTAACTAAATATATTTTTTAAATAATATTGCACTCTAAAATAAACATTCCCTTTTCAATTGTTAAATAAGGAAAGGAAATGATTGTACAAAATATAAAAAGGACTCCTCTGAGATTTATTTTGACATACACATGTAACAGGACCGGATTTTTTCCCGAGATTATTATACAGTTTGATGTAGGTTTATACCATTAACTTTTGCGCAAATTTTAAGAGTATTCAAAGGACAAGTAATCCCACATAATATCTACTTTAATTTGATCTTTAATTTCCTGTTCATTGCATCCGCGTTCGAGTATGATCTTTAAATAACACTAATTGTATCTTATTTGAAAACATTGATTTGCAGTGTTATAGTTAACTTGACGTCATATGATGGTAGTCTTTTACCTCATTTCATGAATAATATCATTCTTACAAAGGCTCCACTGCGGTTGAAAAGCCTGAAACATTTAATTATCTTGATTGTTATGACGCGGTAGCACCGATTGTGATTTGTTATATCAAATTGTATGTGAGCAAGATATTAAATATTTCTAGTCATTACTATATCTCTATGTATTTTAATTATATCCAATTGAAAGGTCATGTTATTACGTAAGCAATTCCATCCTAGTTTTTACTCGTGAACAATACGGATTTTCCTTGATGTAATGCTATAATGATATATGGTATTGCAATGCAAATATTTATTTACAACTTAGTTTTCAATCGGAAAATATCGTGTATTCATATTAACCTCGAACTTATTACGGATTGAAAGTAGTTTTACCAATTGGTTTTAAAAATAAACAAAAACAGGGAGTGTAATCTCTGGTAATGTATAACGAACATATATTTTTGACATTCAAAGGAAAATAAAGTCTGTGACAGTAAAACATATGAAAAAGTCATGTACAATTTAAACAAGTCCGTATAAATTTTAATATGTAGCTATTTAACACTTTCATTTTTTACAACCATAATAATAAGTTTATAAATTATGTACTGTTTACTTTAATGTCTATAACTTTACTTATTACTTATCTACTTATTTTGTGGACCTTTACTCACTTTAATGGAATAAACTTAATCAACAACTACCAGCATTGAATTACTATTTGTTTACATGTTGACTTTCATAGCGAAAGTTAGACAGAAATACCGTGTCCGTTTTGTGAATTCTTATCCGAAAATCGACGGAAAGGGCCGAGAAGCTGCGATTGCTTATTTCCCTTCTTACTTGAGTTAATATGATTTCTTAATTTTAAAGAAGTCTATATCAACGTTTTAAACAATATATTATAAAAATTATAAAAGATACAAAAAATATGCTCTACCTGCAGAAATTAAAATCCATAGAAGAATAAAACTTATTCCTATCATATACGCCATATTGATACTATTCGTTAATGTCAGTCTTTTACTTCCTGTTTACTATAATAATAAAATGACTTACGTCTCCGGAAGTAATAAATAACAGGATACGCTTTTACTGTTACATGCATAACATGATGTGTAAACAATGTTAAACTGTAAACAATGATTTATTATAGGGTATCTATGATAAATTTGAGCATATTTTATAGGTTTAAGATACAAATAAATTTTATTTATAAAACAAATCGAGAGTTTTTAATAGAAAACAATTCTAGACAAAACGTCAAAAAATCTTTAAATTTTTTTACATTTTTTCTCATTGCTGCTCTGAGGAAGAAAAAAACCGTAATGTGTCGCAACATTAAAGATCGTGTAACACAACTTTTTTATGCTTTTATATCATAAATATGATGCGCAAATTAAGATTTATCAATTTTGTAAGTTCCAAAAAGCATTATTTATAAAGATATTACGGAATTTAACATTTCCTGTAAATTAAGGGAGTAAAATATTTACGATAAAGTCTAAGTCGAATTGTTCAATAAGAAATGAATACATATATATTTTATTTTTTTATCATTACATATAATATGTTAAAATATTTGCAGTACATATTTTACATATTCTTCTATGTTTTAAAATTGTTTTATAAGCATAATTATATACATATATATATATATATAATTTCACTTAAGTGTGGTATACAACCTCAATTACAACATACAAGATCTTTAAATGTCTTTGTATTTACTTCATTTAGGTAGGAAACTTAAATATTATTCAGCAGTGTTTGAGTAATAATAGTGATAAGAGTTAAAAGGCACATTATGTCCCAGAAATCCATATTTATTAAATTCATTAGAGATATCAAATATATGTTTGATATTGTTTACATAATGGATTTAAAGCATGTTAGTTGTTTAACGAAAGAAGAAAGTAGCGCTGGATATGCAGTTATGTGTTTTCAAGGTAGCAAAATGTAAACAAAGAAGTAGTTTGACGTTCATAAAAAATAATTATTCACAATTATTATACAAATTTCTAAACAAAGTAAAAGGAGCAAAGATAATTTATCTATATGGCAAATGAATGTTTTTTCGAGACTTTAAAAAGAAGCCAACAATATTTTATTCTGAAAAATAAAAATGATGGCATTTTTGAACCATAATGGGCCTTTAACTATAAAGATATAAATCAAAGAAGATGTTGTCTTGCGGTTAAGATGCCTGCCTTGTGTAGTTGTAGGTTAATTGCAACAATGTGTCATTATATTAAATTAGAACTGTAAGAAGTACCAGGAAAGAAATCTTACAGTGGTTTAAAAAAAACTCCAAGGCTTTGTTAATTCGAGCTGTAACAATGTTTGAAACAAAATGTAACAAAATCTAAGAAATGATAGTATTTGCCACATCAACCTCATTTGCCAAATTGTGCTGAAATAATGTTTAAATCAAACAATAGCCAAGACATGATATCATTTTTATATATGTAGAGTTCGAACGAAGAAAAGACCAAAGCTAAATGGATTTATTGCCTTTTAACATGTAGAGAACAATAAATGTATTTCACCGAACAATGTCTTTATTTGTACAAATGTAACATTAATAAAACATAAAATGTACAGCAAATACGTTTACATGTAAAAGGAAGCTAAATAATATTATTATAGTATTATTATAGCTTAATACATAATATATTCTGTAATGAAAAATCTGTATTTTCCTAAGAAATACTAATTTTAAAGTTTAAAATTGCTTAAATCATAATCATCTGTTGCATGTTTAAATTGATAACCAAATAACCAGATACGTCAAATAAAAAATATTTAAAAGGGTATATTCTGCCATATGTAAATAAAAACACATTAATTTGATCTTATTTGTCTATTCATTTTCATAATTATATAAATAAGTGTGTTCAACACCATGAAAATAATTGTTATATATTATTAAATGTGTATAAACATACCACTGTCAGTTTTTTTCTATTTCATGTGTCTTCAACAAATTGAAATGTGTTCATGTGACTTCACTTGTCATGAAGCACCCTAAATTATGAATTCCAGTGTCTTTAATATCCCAGACTGCGTGTGTATGAATACAAGTGTCTTCATAATCCTGAAGTACGTTTGTATGATTGTACATTACATCAAATATCCTTTGGTGTGATTGTATGATTGAACGTGTCTTCAACATTTTGAAGTGTTTTTGTATCATTGTGCATGTCCTCAACTTCCAGAAGGGTTTCTTCATGATTGTACGTTGCTTCAACATCCTGAAGTGAGTTTGTATTATTGTACGTGTTTCCAACATCTTGAAGTGCCTTTGTATGATTGTACGTGTCTTTATCATCCTGAAGCATGCATGTATGAGTTTGCTTATCTTTAGCATCTGGAAGTGTGTCTTTATGATTGTACGTAGATGCAACATCCTGAAGTATGCTTGATTGATTGAACGTGTCATTATCAACCTGTAGTCTGCTTGTTTGATTTTTCATGTCTTCATCATCCTTGAGACACTTTTCATGTCCTTTTCTAGAATATTCATTATATTCATTTTTAATATCTTGTGTTACACCATAGGCATTATCTGTTTTGCAGTCTTTCAGTAGTTTTTCGTTCAAATGATTGTATGGATTTTCATCTGTTTCTTTAATTGTTAAATTTTCATCTGATTTGTTCACTGTACCATGTTGGGTTTTCAGCTTCATAGCTGCTTTCTCTACTGTATCGTATGTAGCGTCAAAGCTATCCCCTAATTTTACACGCAACTTCAATGTGTTATACATCCCTTTATCCTCCTCACCTCCTTTTTCGACCATGTCACCAGTTGTCTTAGTTGCATTTTGTTTAAGATTAAAGCTAACCTGTGCATAATTTACGTTGTCTTCCTGCACATCATTTACTGCGACCTTGCTTGTTCGTGGTACTACCTTATCAATCTGTTCATACGGGGAATCAGAATGGCCTTCATATACATTGTTGACGATTAAGGATTTATCCATTGTACATTTTGGCGTTATACCAGATGAAAAGATGTTACAAAACACGATCGAAATTTTCCCTCTAAAACAGATTAATAACAATTTTACCAGTAACCAGTTGTTCCATACAAATTAATGTGATCAAATAGATAAGTACTGACAAAATGCTGGAAATGTTTTTAAAATCTTATCATTCAAAATAGACATTTTACACAATTTACACTATAATTGTTGAACGGGAATATGATATTTTGAAATTTTATTTAATAATATGTCGCGGCATATGTTCTTTTCTGAGAAATTTAAACATAGGAACTGTTTAAATAATACGAAATGGTCCACAGTAGTCTTTGGTAGTAAATATTATAATTAAACTGGAATTATTCTATGGTTTCATGACCTTGATACAAAATTCAGAAATACAATACCGTCTCTTTGTTAGAATAACTGCTATAACAGCACCAACAATTAATAGGAAGGTGGCAACCGAAACTCCAATAGGGATTCCATAATTAGAGGCTGAAAACATTCAAGTAAATAATTAATTCAAATTAAATGAGTAAAGATTGGCTAATAACTTTTGAATATAAAATGGGCAAAATTTATGTAATTTCTGTAACAATCGTTGTTTCCTAAGCGTGTAAATCTTAGCGTGTCCTTTAAATACATTTAGTGTTCATTGACCAATTGAACAATACACCCATTTCATGTATCAAAAACTCATTATATTATAAAACGTGGCAAAACAATTTAAACAAAAAAGATACTTGATTTTGTTTTGAAAAATGCTGATGCCTACAAATACAAGAATAAACTTACATTTTATGTATTTGTCTCGTTTCTTTGTGAAACTATTTGTTGAACTTGTAGTAGAACTTTGTGGAGATATTGATTTGCTATCGCCTGAATCTGGTGTTGTTGCCGATGTTGATTTCTCACTTGAACGTAATGTTGTTGTTTCTAATGTTTAAATTGAAATATTCAAAGCAAAATCTGTAAATTTATGTAATTATTGGAAAAAGTGTTACTTTTTAATTAATGATCATAGTTGATACGAAAATAATTTATGTCAAACTGATCAACAGATCAATATTTGTCCTTATATTTCCGTACTTAATTTCAATCTTTTCGCCAATATCTTAATGTGATTAAATACACGTTGTCGAAATATGTATCATAAATGGACATTTCATTATCTAGCACGCACGTTCTTCTTCAAACATTCTACTATGTCTCCAAAGAATTGTTACAATGTGAATTCGTACCGTTTTTACACAGAGCATGTTTCTTCATATTAGTTTTAGTGGCGAATTTCAACAAGGGCTTACTACTAGATGTCTTTCTGCTGAGAAAGCCAAACGTTCTTGGTTCTGTGACTGTAGCTAAATCTAATTAATAAAAAACATTTTTCATTTAAAGGATAATATGGAAAAATAAAATTATTAACTAATTTATATTTGTATTGGAAACCGGTATTTTATTGCTAAAAGGCAAAGGTAAACTTAAAGAAAAATAGAAACAATGTGTTTAAGAGAAAGACGCACACTTTTCATGTAATTGCATTTTCTGGCAACTGCTACAGAAACACGTTTCAAGTACTTAAACTGTTTAATCGATTTAATTTATTGACATTTAAAGAAAGGATAATTAGAAATAAACGACACGATCTGCTTGTCATAGAAACTCGCTTTCCACCATTTCTGTATTTTTCCGATGCTGCTAATTTTTATTGTTTGTTCTGACTATAAAAAGTAAATATTTTGATTTGCAATGTACACATGGAATCTCAAATGGTTTTAAAGAATTTGAACTTAACTTCAAAGCTGTAAATCACATCACTCTTTATAACACCTGCCCATGAAGATTCTACGAAAGATCTTTCGTTTAGAAGATCAAGGTCGTTTACGGATGTTGGCAATCTTTTGACATTGAAACAAACTTTCATGGCATTTATCCAAGATGATCTTTGACTATCATTATAAGTACCAATTACATGAACTCTGCTATAATCTGAGGGAATTAAAAAGACGATGAATATTTATGGTAAGTATCATAACGGTGGTTATCTCCGTTTTTACTGCGATATTACTGGTTGTTTATATGCTTGTAATATCTGAAATTCTTTACATAGATCATATAACTGCTGTACCCTTTTACATACATTTAAATCATACAATTATTGTATATCTTGAAGAAAGCATTTAACTAGATACTAAAACTTTGCATGCGAAAAGAGTAATTATCTTATAATGGTAAATATTAATCCTTACTGTAAGTGCATATGATCTGATGTGTTTGATTGCAATCAGACCAAGACCGTGTTGGGTCCGATGCATTATCTTTCTTATATAATAAACAATCTCCTGTTCCATTGTATGATATTTCTGAAATACAAAGAAGATTAAGTACAATTAAAACACAGTATTGGTTGCTTGAACATGGAATATATGTTTTAAAATTCGTTGAAAACATGATGTATTAATAACATAGAAAATGACTTTGGTTTGACGATGAGATGTTTAAATGAGAATGAAGAATGAATAAAAGGTCTCTTAGGGGATATTTCTTTATCACCAGTTTCTTTCATATTTGTTTAGATCGAACTTTATATGAAAATCTACACTGAAATAGTTGAGAGGCGCAGTGAGCAAATTTATATATTTATCAACATTAAATTCAAAATACAAACATAAAAAAACTCACCAGGCGAGTCAATGGTGTACACTGATATAGAATCATTACCACCACAAGCAATGTACTCCTGATCTCTGCAACCTTTGGTACAGCTTTTGCCTAATTTATTTTGTGGAATTGTGTCGTTGAAGCAAAAACACTGAATTATATATCAATATCATAGTTTCAAAAATTTAGAAAGCACCTTTAAATGAGATAACATTAGTTAATAAACAAAAATTCACTAAAACAGTGATATATTGCATTCATTTCAGGATTCGTTAATTGGTAACCGAGTAGTGTTATAAATGGAAAAATGAGGTCATATAGTATTGAAAGCAAACTGTTTATCACAAACCCGTCGTAGTTTTAATTTTGTTACCGTCTTTCTAATAATGACACGATGCAAGTCTTTCTAATAATCTACTGAGATGTTGCAAAGAAGTGTTGCTCAATCTCCAATTCTATTAATTGAGAACTTTCTGTGTTTGATAAAATATAAATTATCATCAAGGACCTTTTTTATTAGTTTGAAATGTGTAAAACTATTGTTTACTTTTAAAAATTTCAATAAAATAAAAACAAATTGTAAAAATACTGTCTCTTACTTTTTTCTTGCTGACACCTATGAATTTTGTCTTGTTACATGCAGAATAACAGAAACCGGGGGTGTTGTGATCAAATTCTGCTGAAGGAGTTATGTTTTCTACTTTGAAACAACCTAAGAATACAATGTTTCAATCACAACAAGACTAAAATATTATAAAGGTAATGTATGTGCTACACAAATGTATATCAATAAAAACAATTCTGTACTACGATAGTTCACTACTTTTTCATTTTATATTAAAATGACATTAGGTTAACTTTTGCATTGTCAAGTTAAGCTGAATTGAGTATTTATTTTAAAAGATTGACTGTTATAAAAGTGATTGACCAACATTGATAATGAAAAACGTTTGGAATAAAATATAAATCTGCATACAATATAAAGACTGCCTCACTCCTTGTACAAATTGAACGTCAGAGGCAAATTCCCATATATTATTAACAGAAAGTTCACTGAGCCACGTGAGTTATTTATCGTTAATTCCAAGTTAAATATAACAGTGAAAGGAATTACGGCAGCATGTAAACTTATTTTGACTTTCACCTGTTTAATCACTGTATACCCTAGAACGGACATAATGATATATATTATCAGTGTGTCGTTGCAGAATAATCCCCATCGCCGACAGGCCTTATTGATTAAATTTTAATAATTAGAACGTACTCAAAATATCTTTTAATACCTTATACCTTATACCTTCATACTTTATAAACATGTCCATTCTTATAATACAATTATGAAAGTGATAACGGGCCTTAGATAATATGATTTATGACAAGAAAGGATATTGACCGCCTGAGCGGCTACTACTTTTTTATTACCGGTCTGCTAAAACAGAAATATTTTACAAAAATAGCCAGCTGCCAAAAGAGTTCAGTACACTTTACCAAAAAATGGTTTTCTTGAACAAAATGATTAATTTCCTTCTTGAACTTTTTCCATAATGTTCTATAAAAAAGGTATATTGAACTCCCAGTCAGCCCTAAACATTGACCGGAACTTAGCCTCTGGTGGCAGTTCGTTAAATGGGGCTGATTTATCAATCACTATAATGCTAAAGGGCTTTGTACTAACTATCTAATACACTCAAGAGTTCGGTCTGTTTAATAAGGAAATAGTGTAAAGAGTATTAGAATAATAAACAATTATAACTTGCTCGTTATCTAATAATTAGATCAGTAAGCTTTGTTATATTGAAATGATTTTAATCTTCCGGGAGGTTTAAAGTGGTTGGTCTACAATGGGCATATTTTTCATAAATATTTCAAATATGCATAGATCCCTGACATGTCTAATTTTAATTATCAGATACGTGGATACAATAAAAATATCACGACAACATATTTGTTAACAAAAGAACACATGTCAATTTTTATGGTGAAATATAATCATTAATATACAAATAAAAGGTCAAAGTAGAGATCTATCAACTGACAAAAACATTAGAAATAAATCAATTGGATGTTCTTATAAGATATTTCTTAAAAAAAAAGAAGATAAAGTTCTGAATGATTCAATATGACGATTTGTATGATGAATTATAATACTTTGTTCTGGAACAGTTTATATTATTTACTATATATTGATATTTAATATCGTATCATGTATTATACACTTACCAGCAAAATTGATATATAATGCTTTCGTGATTCATTAAAATGTATTATACTAAAATAATATCAACGTAGTTATTACGGTATTACATACCTTTCATTATAGACCAATTTACTTTCAAAGTGCAAACATTTTTTTAATTATAATAATTGTTTATGGATTTTTAATATACGTAAATAATAACGTGCCAATGTAATGGAAGGCTGTAGCAACCAAATAGTATCCTACCCACACGTCGTCGTTTCCAGTCAAATTGTAGTTTACGGTTAAATTCTTCCAAGATCCAACGAATAAAATGGTAGGTGTTTCAATTGTGCAGTTGCTAGTTGCATTATCCCACGTCATTTCATATGATGTAATGAATGATACACCTACTCGTATATGTTACAAAATATCAGATCTTTAGAGGTAGAATGTAATGTACAGACTACTTTTTTCTTACCGCGTAATTAGTGTTGAATACAAATATATTTTTAAAGATTGTAAATGCAAAAAATAAGTCATTGTCAAGAAGCATAACATGTTTAAACAAGAAGAAGGAAATCTTGTATTACTCTTTTTCATCTTTATCAAAATAATTTTGTTTGCAATAAGTTAGTCAGGACTGTTTGAATTCGACGTTCATCTCCGGTATCTTCATTCTGTCCTTCTACGTTTGATGCAGTAAAAATAACCTTCAGTTTTTTTTTTCATACTGTTGCCTTGTTACCATAGGCTTACTCAGGTAGGAATTTTTATTTAAGGTCCCGATTTCTGTTTGGATATCAGTACTACTTAGCGAATAACTTCTCTTTGTTTAGAACAAAAGTCAACTTTGGAGGACGCATTTTATTTAACATAATTATTGTCTTTTGTCAAATAAACTGTGATTGGATCCGATACGCTCTTATCGTGAACCTGACCGGGCTGACACATATGTTGGAATCAATACACATGTAAGTTTTATTGTAATTTCATAAGTGTTTGTTTTCCATATCATTAAATGTAAATACACATTTCTAAAACATGTTTGACATCCAATACGTGTATTAAGGATAAGGTTACACTAATTTAATATCTACGTGCATATACTCTTTTCCATTGTTAATATATATAATCGTTAATTAACATGTACACAAACCATCGTGAATTATTACCAGTCTTATAAAGAAAGATCATAAATTAAATCATTTTTTAAATATTTTTAATCAATAAATATAGCTTTTATGGTCTCAAAAGTGCTGCTTTTAAGCAGATGTATCAATGTATTCTAAAAATAAATATAATATTGATATAAAGTACAAATTAAAGAGATATTTATAGAAATATTTCCATTTTTAGTTTTTATATTACATGTGTACAAAGTGAAGTTTTTTATTCTGATTACAGGTAAGAACAAAATAATTAACACATAAATATCTGACTTTTCTTTTATTCCGGACCATTATATGACTTACAACCATTCACGGCTTGCCTCAATACTCATGATAAGTGTGTACAGGAAAATTATCAGGGAAAACTCCTAATTTGTTTCGAGGTATAAAATGATCAGCAATCATTCACAAGTGGTTAGCAGGAGCAGGATAAAACAGGAAATTTGACCAAGACTTGTAGGTTGCAGATCTTTCAAAATACATTTATTTCCTATGCTTTTGCCGCATATCAAGGACCAATAGAACACAAACACGAAAACACCATAACGTATACTTCTATTTTGTGCAACAAGCAAAACATGCCTTCGATATGCACAATAAAGGGATGGTACGGATCACACCTGTGAAGTTTCATTGACATCCAACTAGGAGGTTGATCTGTGGAAGACGGACAAGCTGAATGCGAACGGACGGACAGACGACCGGACTGCGATTGCAAAAACAATATGACCATTTTATGCAACCAAGCGGAACGTGCCGGCGATATGCACAACTACGGATGATATTGATCACTCCTATTAAGTTTTATTGAAATCCCGCCAGCAGTTTGACCTGTGAAAACTGGACAAGAATTTTCTATGTTTTAGATCTGGTGGCCATTTTGGGCGCACAATAGGGACGATACTGATCACCTCTATGTAGTATAATTGAAATCCCAAATGCAGTTCAACCTGTGAAAGTCGGACAACATTTTTCAATATTTATAGGTCTTGCATGCCTTATTTTGTGCAGGAGAGCGAAATGTGCCGGCGATATGTACATCTAGGGATGGTACTGATCACCTCTGTGAAGGTATATTGACTTCCAACCAGCAGTTTGACATGTTAAAGCCGGACAAGAATTTTCTATTTATAGCTCTTACTGTCAGTTTGTGCATCCAAGCGAAACATGTGGGCGATATGCGCAACTAGGGGATGGTACTTATCACTCCTGTGAAGTTTTATTCAAATCACGCTAGCAGTTTGACTTTTGAAAGCAAGACAAGATTTTTTATTTAAAGCTCTGGCGACATTTTGTGCAGACAAGCTGAACTTACCGGCGATATGCACAACTAGGGATGGTACTAACGACTCCTGTACAGTTCTATTGAAATCCTGGCAGCAGTTTAACCTGACGAGTATGAAAATCGGACAAGGTGAATGCTTACAGCCGGACAGACAGTGGAGACAAAAACAATATATCTCCAAAAAATTTTGGGAGACATTATAATATAAAGGTATCTCACCTTCAGAACTGGATATCCAAAATATAACAATTAAAATTGAGCCCGCTATTTTCGCCATTTTTAAGCTACTTATTTTATTTAGATGTTTTACTACCTGATAGATGTGTGTATTGTTAACCAACCTAACAAGGAAAATAAAACATTCTTTACAAAATACAACAAAAAGTATGAAACATGTTAAACATCATCAAAACAAAACGCATCATTGAACAAAATGTTTGTCTGCACAATCTTCCGTATGCTATAAAAATAGAATAAGGCATTTCATAAGACGCAATAAAGATTAATTACATAACGTAATTGGAAACATAATTCTATTTGAGATGAATGTTAGAATAACCTGACATAAGCCAAGACTTTCATTTGAATCTCATTTTAAGTGTTTTAATCGGAAGATTGTTTGAGATCTTATTATTCATTATCATATTTTCTCAATTTTTATTCAACTCTATTGAATAACTTACTATTCAAGCTTATTTCTCATATTAATTTAATTATCTCTTTACTGTAAAAGAAAATCCATGTACAAGATATACATTAACGCCTGCAGGTCTTTTTATCCTTTTTATACCATGCATAGGATTCGAGTAATACTAGTAATAGAAAAGAAGTTGCGAAAATCACGACAGCACATATCTCGAAAATGCCTGTCCTAGTTTGCTTAATTTTTATCCAGGTTAACATTATTTAACAATACTTTAAAATATTTGTGAATATGCAAGCAATAAAGCTGTGTCAAAGATAAAGAAAACTCGGAACATTTCCTTACAAATGTCACGAAAACATACCTTATGAGTTCCAACATAAATGCTTCAAATTTCAAAGTTCATGAGAAATCTAACTAGAAGGAGTTAATTATTTTTGAGAGCGATTTTTGTCTAACAAATGTTCGGCGCGCCGTACGCCATCTTTTGAGACTTGTGAAAATTTGTAAAATTGGAAAAGAAAGTTTTAAGCAAATACAAAAATGCATGAAATTATATGAAACTGTAAAAAAATGTAATAACCGGACGTGAAAAAAACACAACGTAAAATTTTATAAACATTTCTTTAAAAATGACAAAATTTGCTATATATATGCTTGATTTAGAGTTATTCCCCTATGCCTGCTGCGGTATACGTGGTTATGTAGGCAATTTAATGAGCTGTAAATTATAAGGTGAAAGAATTATAAAAAGAAATCAGTGTTGTGATTTTTTTAAGTAAGATATTCTTCATTATGTTTGCATAGAGCCTTGGTGTACGCCGAGCTATGCACTTTAATTTTTCAGCTGGAATCCAGTAGAGCTTGCTAGAACGTGTTAAATGGTCATGCCCATTTATTCATCTTCAAAACTGTTTGGTTGAACACTTATGCCACAGTTTAAAATAACCAATTGGTATATAACTCCACATAAATGATAGATAAACTAGATTTTGGTTCTTATCCTTTTCTTTGAGTAATTGATTTGACTTGACTGTATTATAATTGCATGTATATGTTCGGGAAATAAATAGATCTTTGATTAAACTACAGTTACATTGCACAACTTATACAAGTCTAACTTCATGGTTTTCCATTGTAAATTTAATGCAAAAAGAGAAGAGAATTAAGACAAGTTTCTTAAATTATCTTGAAGGTGTCTAAGTCGGACAAAATGAACCTATTTATCAATTGCCTTATCAATTTTACATAGTTACGTTTCGCTCAATACACAATTTCATATGCATGCATAGAATGATGCAAGTTTTTTTGAGTCCTCTTAGTACAATAGTGCCTCAGAACATTAATATGTCACAAAGTCTACACAATAAACGGTGGCTAACAAAAGTACTTTTAAAATTTAATCATAATTGAAAAATATTTGGAAACTATACCATTGTAATTTATCCATTCATTTAAAGTATGCTTTTGCTCAAGATATCAAATTCTGTTTCTTTTCAAATGAAGTTTCAAGCTAATGTCTCACTTTCTTATGGTGTAATGCCCCATATGAAACATTGCAAGGGGCAATAACTTCGGTATAGTAAAAGAGAGAAATGTAACGCAATTCACTGTTTCTTAATGACATGTAACCAAATATGAAGTTTTATTTTCTAGACTGTAGTCAATTAGTGACAGACCAACGCTTAATGCAAGACAGGCGTTTAAATGAGAGGATTACTTATCTGGCCACTCTTTTGTTATCTCTATTGTTTCAAGCCAGATAGAAGAAAATAGCTACAGCAGAAAAAAACGTCAGGACGGACCACGTCAAATCTATATCCATCCTATAAAACACAGCAAGAGTCTCAAAAATGATACTGGCCAGTTCATTACCTCTTCCGTTTTCGCAGGCTTCGGCAGTTTGAGTCGATTTAATTCAATACTACTGGACAAAACTGATTCGTGTGCTTATATGCAGACTTTATCCTTTTAATCAGCCGATCACAGTTTTGTCATCATATTCCATCAGTGCAAAAGCATAATCTTTATCAAGCGCAAAAATTGTTTTCTTCAACGAATTCGATATCATTTCTTCTACGTGTCATGAGAATGATAAAGACACATTTCTCCTGATTAAAGTTTTTTTTGTATGTAATTAAAACAACCTGTAGGCTTGAATGGTCTCATCTTTTTTTATTTAGCAAAAGAATTTTATAATGTCACTTATTTATGGACCGGATTTACTTGACTTAATTTAATCACAGATAAGAGATTAATATGTATACCATTTTGCTTTAGGAATTTCGTTACCATCTGATTGAAACCAATCAATCAATGATGCAAAAATTTGACATGTCTTCATAACTTATCCATGATGACTTGTTCAAGTTTAGTTACAAGACATAGGTTATTCAATACACTTTATTTCTTTCTTAAAATGAACATATGGTATTCTAAATGGCATTTCATTATAGAAATTGAACAGTAATATAGATTTTGCAAAGCTATTTCAAAACTAAAACCGTTTGAATGGTAACATTTTTCATATACTACAAGCGTATACAATGATTGTACCAGACTTGAAAATTAAAAAAAAAGAAAAGGTTTTGAATACATTAATTAACTCATAAAATTCCATTAAAATGCGAATATTAAGCTTGTATATGATTATAGGTGTCCATTTCTCCCAGAAGATCATTTTCATTATTTGTACTGACACCTCCATACTCATTTTCACCACCAGTTTGTATGCCGTAGACATGATCTGTTCTTTTGTTCTTCAGTGCTTCACCACTTGTGTGGTTGTAATCATCTTCCTCCACGTCGTCAAACATGTTACATCTTATATCATCAATGCTTTTATCATGTTGATCTTTCAGTCTTTTAACTGCTTTCTCTGTCGTGTCATATGTATGTTTAGTGTTATTTCCGTGCTTTAAATTAGAACACAAGGTGTTGTACTCGTTGCCAGACTCTCCAGGTCTGGACATTGCAATGCCATTTTCTTTTTGACGATCCCATTCCTGGCCTTCCAAAACGAAATAAGTGTGCGCATAATTTCCGTTGTCTTTATCGAAATCATCTGGTGTATCCGTGCTCCTTTGCAAAGCTGTGTCATCGATTTCATTGTAAGGAGAATCAGAAGGAGCTTCGTAGGCCGTGTCTGGAACCACAGATACATTTTGCGTTTGAACTGTTGTTTTGGGCGTTGAAATGCTATAACAAATACCTTGAAGTTTTCCTCTGAAATTGACATAAATGATAGGAGTAAAACAGTTATCCGTCAAATGATAGTTGTTTGCAACTCATATATTAAATGCTTAATATAAAGCTCGAGAAAAAATATTCTTTTTCAAATATGTGGGACAATTTAATGTCTTTATAATGAACTGTTTAAACTGACCTAATGATAGTTGAGGCATATGGTTTGCGTATCAATCAGAACTGTTAGCAAATGAAAGATCATATGATATGTTTTATATACCTGAAGTTAACAAACTACGAATTGTCAATATTTCCGAGTCAAATTAAATGTTCTTATTCACAGACCTGTGGTAACTAATTCGTCCATTTTGAATAATATTATGCCAGATTAATCATAAGAACGTGTAAATTATTTCAATAATAAAATGTTAACTTGATTTTACCTTTTGTTTAAAACAAAAATTCCTATGACGATCGCTACTATAACTAAAACCACTAACAATGACATTCCCACAACTAGTCCGACATCTGAGCCTATTATAGACATAACATATTTTAAAAGCTGTTATTTTTATAAGCCACGCAATTTGAATGATTTGGTATAAAACAACAGTAAGGTACAAAAATACAGATTTTAAAAAGTTTGGCATATATGATTTTAGAAATTATCCGTTACTCTTTCATTTGCCTTTCACACTTATCATTTTTCAAATACTTTTATAACTTTTATACTGGACATAATCTATAATTGCAAAAGTAATTGAAATGAATAATAACATTTGCTAAAACCTTTTTATTAAAAACCTTATTCTTGTTTCTTACTAATACTTAAAATCATTGAATAAATACTTATTTTCCTTTTTTATTAACATATTTAAGTTCTCACCACTGCTATCTGCTATAGTTTTGTTGATATCTTTTCCTATAATGTCAAAATAAAAGAAGAAATGACAATGACGGCTGAAATATAGTAACCTGTCAATGGACACAGAAGTTCAGTGAACCAAAAGGGTATGTGAACTTTCAGTTTATTTTTTAACATTTAACGATCGAAGTAATGCCATGTTTTTGCCGAAAAAGCAATTATGTTGATATCAATTTGACTTTTAGTTAAAAATTACTTTAACAAGAAACTTAGTGCAAAGCTTGATTCTAAAAATGTCAACTTGTCTTCTTGGTCAGGACCCAATGTGTAAATTTCGTTTCCATAAAGAATCAAATTTTATTTCTTTGACGCTGTCAACTTAATGATAAAGTGGTCTCAGTTGTCCATTAAAATATAGTGAAACATATAAACACGTAAACTTTTTCGTATGCATATATTTCTTCCTAATAAAATAGGTTGCTACTACTCGCACGTTATCTATTCTTGTAGTGATTTTGAGATATGTTAAAAAGTTACCTTTTTTACAAAGAATCCTTTTTTCTTTGTCATTGTCTTCAAATTTTAAGACGGTTTCACCCTTTTTCTTGTCAAGGTATCCACACTTTTTATATACGCTTGAAGTTACTGCTTCATCTAATTTGCGAAAGAACACATTGATTCAAATATCGAGTTTTGAATAAGAATATGGTGATAAAATTTATGAGAGAAGAACTTGCTTCATTTGTTCAAATTCAATGTAATAGTCCCTAAAGACCAGCCAGTAAAAAGCTAGATACATAACAAAAAACTGGGAAAATGTCTGAAGTGCACATGTTTAAATTTGCAAAACGTAGACCTGTAATTCGACTTCGAAGTTTATGCTTTATCCATGAATAATGCAGCTTTTTTGAAACACAGACCGGAAACTTGTTTTCTAGTTTTCCAACCGCTTTATTCGCCGGTCATTTGGCGCTGCGATTTTTTCTTGTTTTCATTATTAATGTAAAATAAAAATTGACCTCAATATGACTAACAGTGTATCGGGTAGTGTCATTTTCGATTATTTGCAGCGAAATAATTAAATAATTCATTGATTGCACCGTTTATTTTATTCACACACTTATGCGAGGAAAATATATGCACATAAGCACTGTCAACTTAAAAACTTATGAAGAATAAGTAATTTATACGACAAGAGCAGCAAAAGTAATGATACTTACACGAGAGTGGCGATTATCGAGCAACGTCAAAATGCACAATTCATATAATTTCATTACAAATTGATTCTTTAGAAAAATTATTGATTAAAATACCAGTTGCCCTTATCCAAATGAATCTTATTATTTTGTATCTAATTTAATTGACATAACAGCATGTTAAAATAAATGTTTCTTGATGGTATACATAATTGTATGGTATTTCTATTTTGAGTATTAGATGTCTAACAGTATTTCATTATTCAACTTCTGTTTATCTACGTGGTTCAAATCTCGCCAGAGTATTGTTTTTCATTATTTCAATAGAGGGAGGTAATAAACGTACAGAACGTCATTGTTTTTTCAAGTCTTCGCTGGAACGTTGCAAGTATCGTTGTGATTTATCCCCACTCTCACCCACCCTTAAAAAAGAACAAAAAGAATTTACCGTAGCTATATATTACATCACTTTTTATCAATCCTGTCCACGATGGTGTAATTATGTTTAATCCTCTCAGGCCTTCTAGAGATGCAGGAGCCCTTTGAAGATCGAAACAAATCTGCATTGATTCTTTCCAACTGTTGTATTGAATGTCACCGTTATTATCAAGCGCGTTTTGAACTGTGCCATTGTCTAACGAGAAAATTATAAAGAATTTGATGGCAATAAAGGAAAGTGTACAATACATGATTCTATTTAAGACGACAGCAACAAAACAACGCAGACATTTTACAACAAATATTGACGGTAAGCTTCCGTTTTTGTGAAAAAAGACTTTCTTATAAAAACAATATTGTGCTAAAATCATATTGTACAACATTTATAGCATAATTAACTTAAAAGAAAATGCGCTCAAGTAGACTATGGAGTTATTAAACACGACATTGCATCTGTAATAGTCTTTATATACTTTCATATTATATGAATATGCATATAATATACAAATAATGCATTTTCGACATTCTCGTGTTTAGTTTCCCAAAATTGCTTCAACTTCTTTACACTTTTAACACTTTTTGGATTTTTAACACCGTAAAGTTTCAAAACAAAAGAATCAATAGACTTACATAATGAAGGATGAAATGTTTGTCAAAGCCTTAAAATAAACATTAAGTGAGGAGTTATATTTTAAAAAGACTATGAACTTACTTTTGCATTGCAGGTTGTATTATTTTGCATTTTGATTAAATATTCTTATACCAATAGTGATCACGATTTTATCCAAATTCCTGATAATTTCATAGTCTATTAATATTTACTTTGTTCAAATATATACGGTTTTTTTTTATTTTATAAATCATTTCTGATGTGTTTACTTTGAACCCAAAAGCATGCTGTAAAATAATAATGACTTACTTAATGTACACATGATTCTTTGAGGTTTCGTGCAGTCCGCCCACTGTGGATTCGGTCCGCCACTGTTTGTTTCAAAGAGTAAACAATCCTTTTCTCCATTGTAGACCTGTGCTGTATGTTTGAAAATAAATGTTTCTGTAACGTTTCATTTAAATTATATAATGTAAGGAAATACATAAGCTATGGTAACAAAAGAAATAAACTCAAAAAGACATTTTATAATTATGTTGTCCTCGGTTTGTAAAGATAAATTCTCACCGGCTGATTCGATTCTGTAAATTGACATATAGTTATCACCACCACAAGCAATATGTTTTTGATCCTTACATCCTTTGTCACATTCTTTGTTGAGAATCTCTGATTGATCAGCATCATTCAAACAGAAGCACTGGAAGATTTTAAAAAAGAATTACCAGACAAAAATAGAAACTTCCATAAAATGAACTAGTAGAAAAGGAATACGTAAATACACGCAAATTTACAAAAACGAACATCAGATTCTTAAATCATAGCAACCATGATCAATAAATTAATTTAAAGACACCAAAGCAAACAATATAAAAGATTTTTTTTTTCTAAAAATAAATGATACCGCTTTAAGTAACGAAATAAATTCAGAATATAAAACAAAACAACATTGCTGTATTTAAATTCCTTTTTATTTTAGATAAAATTAAATGTTCTTCTTACTTTTGTTTGGCTAATGCCTACCAAGCCTTTCTTCTTGCAAGCGGAATAACACAGGCCTGGAGTGTTGTGATCAAATTCTGCTTTTACACTCATACCTTCCACATGCAAACAACCTTAGATGTATAACATACCTATTAATTAATCAACATATTTTAAAAATCATCATCTTTAAAGTTTGAATTTTATGAATTAATCACGTGTTCTTGGGTCGTAAGGATGGTAAAAAACAAACAGGGTTAATGCAACACGTGAATATATAACCTAAGTTTTACAGCATAAATCATGCAGAAGCTATGTATTCACTTTTTATAAATGGCACAAAGTAAAAAATGAGGACACAGATCTTCATTTATGATAAGACATTTTAGTAATTAACGCTCTCATTTAAAAATGAAAATGATAAGATCGAGAAAAAATGCTTGAATTAGGTAATGCTTTTGATGATTAAAGACAATTTTTAAACAAGTCATTTTATATGTTCTTATTATTTGTTTCGTTTATTAAAAAGCATCACATTTCAAGAAAAATAATTAATTTAAGCAAAGGAATATTATTTGTTTATTTGAATAATAATTTGACCAATGATGTACTGACCAATGTAAAGGAATGGTGCTGTTCCTAAATAGTATCCTACCCAAACATCATCTTTTCCCGCCAAATCATACTTAACGGGTAAATCAGCCTCTTTGCCCTCAAACATAATTGTAGGAGTTTCCATTGTACAGTTGTCTATAGCTGTATTCCATGTTGTCTTATATTCCGTTATAAATGTAGCATCTACGATAATTTGTGAATTTGTGTATTAATATTATACATTCAAATCGATGTTTCTAACATCAAAGCAATATTTTTGTGCTAAATAAGCAACGGCAAACTTACAAAAAGAATAAAAGAAAAACGATTAGCATAGCAAACCCGTTTTGTTTTAAATATTTTGCTGTGTACATGTACCACTATACGACTAACGATTTCCTCATCATTTAGGGAAAAACATTTGGCAAATGTCTCTACAAGATATTTCGGCATGATGCTTTTGATATTTGATTTGATGATATGTTACATATACTTATAATGCATTTATATGTTACTGTTACATACAAGTTAACTTTACTATATCAAAATATATAAAAGTAAATAGATTAAATATGAGAGATATTGATCGAGTGTGATCAAATCTGTAATATTATATCTTTTTATAAGCGTATGTCATAAAATTTCTTTACATAAGATCTAATAATTTACAACCCGATATTTATACAGCGTATTTTTATGTATAAAAATGGATTTATCTTTTTTAAAGACGATTTAAGTGTTTCGTTATATTCAACATAACAAAATTTTACAAAACAGTTTATTGAATGATTACTTAAACGGTCTTATATTCTAAACATTTTCGTGCAAGCTGAAATTTAAATTATTTAAAGTTCAGCATATGATATCTTGCTTTGTTTTTCAATTCAATGAATGAATGAATGAATGAATGAATGAATCCATTAATCAATTTAAAAAAACAAAGCAAGAGAACATATGCTGAACGTTCATTATTTAAGAAGGAATAAGCTTCCTTTTAAGTTTCTTGACAAGAAGTAAAGACTGTTATTACTATACAATGCAAATATTTATTTACAATCGTTTTTTTTTCTATTTTACTTAACAAAAACTTTACAAATGTGACCGTTAAATATATTAATTTAATTGAATATGAATCTTTTACCTGCATCAATTAAAATCCATAGAAGAAGATAATATGTTTCTAACATAAACCCCATGGCGAAACTATTTATTTTACACAGTTTGTACCTTACTGTTTACTAAAATGTAACTAAATCGTCCAAGGAAGTTTAAACAGGATACACTTCAGTGTAACATGTATAATAGTAGTCCTAATTATAAGACCTATACGTAACCTATTTCATATTTATCATTCATTAATCTGATATTTTACATTTTTCATTTTCCATGTTACGTTAGGTCTTAACAGATCTTTGCAAAATCGTGTAGCAAAAAAATTGACATTAGACATCGATTTAGATCTAATGAATTTAAACAATTAAAACAGCGTGTATTTACATTAATTTTGACCTATTTATGAACAAAACTAAAAAATAAATACCTTTAAACAAAATAATTGAACTGTCACAACCGAAAAGTCATGATTAAATCCTCTCATTTAATTAAATTCTTTGTACAGCTGATATACAAATGGCCGCCATACAGTGCGCGAAATCTGATTGGCTAATTCAAATGCAAGCGTTTAAATGAGTCCAAAAGTTTCTAACGGAATATTTTTTCAACGAAATAATTGCCCATGCACCGTCAGTGTGTTCAAATATATTTTTCCGTTCAAAAAATTGGAATCAATCTGTAAAACGATATACTTAACCAGTATGGCCGATGAGCGAAATAGACTGATATTTATATTTTACTTTTAATTGATAAGTACATTGTTTTAAAGTTTTTGTTAATGATAGACCATGCAATTGAAAGAACAGAAGATAAGCTTTTGAATAAAGCTTGAAAGGCAAGTCAACAGACATTTTTTTAATTTTTCAAAATGCTACGCGTTTTTGAGCAATAACTATTAGACGTAAAGGCTTGACCAACATAAAACTATAACAAGCCTGTAACGTCTAATCTATTGGACTAGTATAATAGTATCGTTTAAACAATATTAAACCGTAAACATTTAGGTATGAATGTGTACTCGTTGTCCAATTTTGCTTCATGTTTTACACTTTCAACCATTTTTGTATACACGAGTCGAGTTATTTTTGAAATTTTGCTTACCTTTCCAATGACTGCTCTGGGACAACGTGACAATTTTCGTATCTTTTTCTTACTTATTTGAAACTCTTTTGAATAAAAAAATATCATATTGACTTTATTTCAGTACAAAAAAGGCTGAAACAATACTTGTTTTTATTTGATTTAGTTATAAAACCGAGAAGTGATTGCCTAGGATTTAAGTTTATTGCCCTTGTGGAATGGGAGCTCTATACGCTTGGACAAACAATTAAATTTTATAAAGCATGTTAAATGTTAGTGCTGTTTAATTTAATGAAAAATATCATTGAACATTTAAAATTAAGCTTTAACATTATGCCCAAATAACTTGAAATACATTTTCTATTTTGCGAGGGGTCAGTCTTTTTCGAGATTTTAGCAGATAATTATTATATCGTATCCTTAAAGAGCTAGCCTCCGGAAGATAACAGAATAACTTCCGTCGTACAACTATCTTAAAATCCTTCTTCTAAAACATTATAGAGGTGAAGGAAATCGAAATAACACTTCAAAATATTCCTATTTAAACATTATTGCTCTGAGAACAAACAGTTCGTTTTTTCTGTCAAGGAAATACCTTCTTCTATTTTCCTACAGAATTATTTCATCAAGGATTTTTCTAGTCGATCTGTGGTCCGGAACGCCCGAAATCCGGGATCGTATCAAACTGAGAAGGAAACAAAAAATTGCTTCTGTTTTTAATAGTTATAGTAGTTTTTGGCACTTAAATTAAAATTGATTAATTATATCATATATTTGATGACCAATGTACGCATTTAAACTTAAGCGAAAGTTGATATACGATCCCAGGCGTACCGTATACCGGCTTTTTTCCGTTTCCGGATCACTGTTGTTTATTGTGTCAAAAAATTATCTTCTCCTATTTATGTTTGCTATCGCATTAGTAACGTCGTAGCTTATGCTAAGGACAAACACGATATGGTAACTTTTCTCTTGAAATTATATTTCATGTTTCATTTTACCATCTTGAGGTTAGTGGTTAGTGATCGTCCAGCAAAACATTATTATTGTGTTAAAGGTACTTTTGGTATTTGCTATTTGGCTTTTTTAAAAATTGGTGGATAAATAAATTCTTGCTTGAATACAGTATAATCACCCTGAGATAATGATGCCTGTGTTTTAAATGTGTTTGACAGCGTTCCGTAATATAAAGGCGTCATTACCTAAGATTCCCCTTTCAACTTTCCATAATATTTAGTTTAGCCTTTGGTGTTTCGTTTTGGGCACACACATTATTTTATACGGGGACCATCCGCAGCTTTTTTTCACTGGCACAAACAAGTATCATTGAACGTCCTATGATAACTGTTGTATGAACATATCTGCAGATGTTCCCAAATTTAAAACTTAATCTTTTCATGTAAAAAATAAAATTTTCCGAGGCCTGTGCTACGTGGAGCTTGCACTTTCCAGTACCATTCAGAAACTGGTACACTTAATCCGGGGCTGTAACAATTTCAATTTTGCCGTTTTGACATTCTTAAGATTTTCTCTATTTAACCAAGAAACTGTGACTTTTAAATGTTACCATTAGATTATCCCTCAGACATTCCTAAAACATATATTCAATTTAAATGTAGTTCAATTTAAGAAAACATCAACATGACTACATTTTTGGTAAATGATACGAAAAAAATCAAACAGTCATTAACCTACGAAATATCATAGCGTGTATACATGTCAAATATAAAAATCTATATGTATGAGGAAAATAATAACACCGTGGTATTATACATTAAATATGTCACACTCATTGCCATTCAAGGTAGAGGGGTTAAAATATTGCCTCTGTTCGTCAGTCTACTTTTTGGTCTGGATAATAACATAAATCCTGTCTTAGATTGACTGTTTACTTGAAACCTTTAATATGAAAATGCGGAAACTAAAATAAGTGCAGTGACAACGAATCATTATTCTTTTAAGTCAAGATTTGTAAATGCCACCTTTTATAATTATCTTTAAAACAATTCATTGCACGGACCATAAGTAGAAAACTAAACATTTTTGGAATATAGGTAAATGTTATTGTTAAAGAATCGTATCTCTATCTGATGCTATACTTATTTTTCCACCTTCATTTTCTTTACAGCTAAATGGCAATACTAGTTATTGACTTTAAAATAGTAGACGACATACAGAAGTGCAGTTACCAACCACAGTAATTTTGTTTGGTTCTTTTTCAAATTACCTCTTTTTAAATTCAATGTATTATAAAACACGATAATTTATATTCCCATGGATAGGGCATCAGTTGCAATAAAACACATGCGAGTAAATAATTAAGCAGGTTTTAAAAGTGTTTCATTATAATGAAACGCCTTTCGTATTTTCTTAATTTTTCTCTATTTATCCAGAGCATAACCCAAAACAAAACAGGGAGTGGTACTTAATATAATAGATAGATATTAAAATATTACAGAACCATCATTCTATACTGCCATCTGGTTTTCTTTTTATGCTTTTATTAATTTTAAAATACTTTTGAAATGCAGAAATGCAGAGGCAAAAAAGTGATAATGCCTGGTGTTTTGTTTGTTGTTGTTATTGCTAAATATCCTTGTACTTACTTAAATAAAAAAAAACATACTTGTAATAAATTCTAACTTTTTTATTATCAAAGAATTGCATTATTTCATAGGAAGAACTATCTAGCAATTGCTTTCTTTTTATGTGATATGTTGACAATTGTTAATGACTCTAAATACAAATCATTCTATACTGTTAAAATCCATGAATTGATTTATTACAGAAATAGGACACAACATTCAAATACATATATACATATATTACATTTTTATTATCTCTTATTAAAGAAGGCATATATTTTTTTTAATAAATGTCTTTTAAGTCCTTGACAATTGTGCGTGTCTTCAAAATCATGAAACTGGACTTGTATGATTGTAAGTGTCGTCTTCAACATCCTTAGATATATTTGTATGATTGTACGTGTCTTCAACTGCCTCAGCATCCTGCAATATATTTGTATGATTGTACGTGTCTTCAACATCCTGAAGATATTTTCCGTGAGTTTTTCTACAGTTTGCATATTCATCATCTTGTGTTACACCATAAACATTATCTGTTCTGACAGTTTTCAGTTGTCTTTCGCCTTCATTTAAATGATTGTAAGGATCTTCATCCTCAAGCGTTTCATTCGCATCGGAATCATCCTTTACTCTGTGTTTGGTCTTCAGTTTCATAGCTGCTTTCTCTGCTGTATCGTATGTATTGTCAAAGTTAGCCTCTTGTTTTACATTGGACGCTAATGTGTTATACACATTTACCTCATCTTGAACTACTGTTGTATTTCTATCAGCTTCAGTCTTTTCAAGAATAAAGTAATCATGTGGAAGATGTCCGTTATTTTCCTGGACATCATCTTCTGATACAATGTTTGTTTGTGGAACAACTTCGCCAACCTTTCTATTTGGACAATCTAGAGGTATTGTGTTGGAGTTGTTAACTAGGGATGTGTTCATTGTGCATTTTGACGATTTGTCATGCAATGATATTCTGCAACACATACATGGAACCTTCCCTCTGTAGACAAAACATGTTTTTATTTTTAAATATCATGGATTCATATTGCTTTGAATAGTTAAAATACTAAAATTAATTGCTAAACTATAGTATCGTGTAAACAATGTGTTTGGGTTCTTAGAACAGTTTTGACTTTCTCCGTTTCTCTAGAATCACAAAATAAGGGGTTGAATTTGATGCTTGTAGCTATACAATATCATGTCATAAATGAGGCTAGAAAGTGTTGGAGCACCACACTCAATACCTTATTCCGGTATATACCGCACAATGCTTTAGAATAGATTAATTGCTAACATCTCCACTTTGTTTTCACTCGCAAAAAATGCACATTAAGATGTATAATCCATCTCTTCACACACATTTAAATACGATCATGAATGAAAAAGTGTTAGAATTTGAGATTTTCTACTTTGTGAACATGAACATGAACACGACAAGAGGTACTGTTCAGTGAAATCCACATGAGATAATGTGACTGTGTTAATATATGTAATTACTTTAGTGAAACAAGTTTTCCTTTATTATATACACTATTTCTCTGAATTGACCTCCTGCACGCTACAGCGGAATAAACATAGATCTCTAAACATATGATATAATCACTGTATCATGAAATTATGACAATAGTCTATTAAGGTTTTTCGTTCGTTCGCTCGTTTAGATTACAATTGACAAAACACACATTTTATAGCGCAAAATTTTCATAAAAAGATATTAAATGATCTTTCAAAATACAAAAGCTTACATTTAAATCTTAACTGAAAGACGCAAAATAAAAGCCGTTATTTAATAAGTGAACTGTATTAAAAATCGAGAAATGTTTATGTCATCGCTAAACGTATTAATATTATGATACAATGCTATGTTTGCCATTAAATTTATCCTTAGGAATGAAATCCAAGTTGCAGATACAACTTGATGCATACTATCAAAGATAAAATAAAGACTTATCAGAATTTTTACCTTCTTATAAGAATAACTCCTACAACGACAGTAGCAACAGTTATGAAAGTGGCAATCAAAACACCAACAGCGATGCCAATATCTGAGTCTGAAATAAATCATAGATTCGATGACTTTATACTAAACTGTATTTGTTTTTGCAACGGCTGATTGAATATATGTATCAAAATCAGTTTAATTATAATCCAGAATAGAAGCCACAATAGAAACGATGAATAAATAATTATTTATTTCACAAAGTGTATCTATCTCCAACGTTACCATAATAGAAATGGCCTCCTAAAACATCATTTTTACCTTTTGTTGCACTAGCTTGGTCTGTTTTTGATTGGGTAATTCTACCTGGTGCCGTTGTTTCTATAGTAGTTTTTTGCGAATAAGCACTGGTAATCGGACTAGATTCATCATCACCTGGACTTTTTGTTGATTCTACAGTATAATTATCACGTGTCATTGTTGTTAGTTTTTGACTTGTAGTTTTAAAACATTTTGTGGTTTTATATAAAAGAGGTTTCATATGATGGCATTGAAACGATTTGTATTATTAAGATTTATTAAGAAAATAAAATAAAAAAAATAACAATTTAATTATCAGTAAATGTCATGATTGGTAGCAACAATTTACTGTGGAAACACAGAAACAATTAAAAAAATGCGTAAATTACAAGATACATGATTGACAGGTTTTAAAACTGATTACACATAATTCATTTTTGTTGTAATTACCTTTTTCCATATAACAAAATCATCCAGGTATTCATTTATAAATAAAATAATCATGTTTTCCTACCATTTTGACAAAGGCTGTATCTTTGGCTTGTGCTATTTTTATCAAATTTTAATACTGTGCCATTTGCCTCGTTTGTTTGAAGGTAGCCAAACCTTTTCGGGGTTATGTTTGGAGGTTTATGATCTATTCACAAGAAAATAATGTGTATTATCATTTGTTATATGAGATATGTTTCTAAAATGGATATTACACATTTAACAAATATCTTAGATATTCACGCCTATGAACAACCTTTTAAATCTGAAGTGACATTTAGGAATTGAAATTGTTATGAAATAATTTGTCCTTTGCTACAATTACTACATCACAGCGGTACTTCTTATCATTTGAAGAAGTGTATTTCTTTAATATTTACGGAGGCACAGTATGAAACTAGTTTATAGTTAATTCTTAACTTCTTTTCAACGTGTGTTTTTACTTCCTTTAAAATGATTCACAATAATTTCCATAGCATACTTATTTGCCTTAAAAATAAATATAAATTAACCCCCGTTGTAAAAAGTACTTGAAATGACCCAGCCCCATATTCCCAAGGTTATTTTTTCTTTAAATTTTGTTCGGTTTTGTGATGTTGGAAAATTTTGACAATTTAAAAATTTCGTTCTTTGATGGTTCCCCATTTTTTTTTTATTTTTTCCATTTTCCTTTATATTTCATGAAATACGTATCTTGGAAAAAATAGAGATTTTTATTTTAAAAACTTTTGAAAATGGTTGCAAATACAAATGAATACTTTTCCGTACCATTTTTTTAGTCTAAAATTTTGACTAATAAAGAAAAACAAATAGTATAATCAATTTAAATTCTTTTAATTATTTACCTTTTTTTTACATTAAAAATATTTTCATTTGTATGTATTTAGATTATTTAAACTATCCTTTATAAGTAATAAATATGCTTTCATTTTTGTTTCTCAACTAAATCTACATATTGATCTATTTCTGATCCCAGTTTTTCCCACATCCATGTGGACGTATAATTTTTGAATCATATTGAAGACACCTCCACTTCCACTGAAAAAGATTTGCTGAAAAAAAGTTTTAAGAAAGAAACAATGCAATTTTCTATGAAAACTACATTAGGAACATCTGTGTATTATACCTATGCGTATAATGTTACATGATTTTTCGTAATGTGTTAAGATTTTATAGACACGAAACTTTATGCACATCATTAAGGCAGAAGGTGTTTTTAAATCGTTCTACTTGATTGACCATTGTCTAACGTCCAACGATAAATGTATAGTATAAAGTCATTTTTTTATTCTTACTTTTGAATAATGTTTATATATGTGTTATATGCAATTGTTCAAGTTAAGTTGTAAATTTCTCACCGTACGAGTAAGTAGTGTACATTGAAATGTAATTGTTGCTGCCGCAAGCAATATTCATTTGCGTTTTACAACCCTGAGTACATAAGTGATATGCCCTGTTTGATGGAATAGTGTTGTTAAAGCAGTAGCACTGAATGACAAAAAATAATTTTGTAAAATCACATTTTTTTTTTGCTTTGTACTATTTTAACATCTCGAAAGGGTTACAATTTATAAAGGAAAATATGCATTAGGGATTTATGGCCCGTACATTTTATTTGTATATGAAGTTACATCCACTCGCTATATTGATTGATGTACACTTTTTTCTAAAATATGCCGTGAAAAGGTGTTTCTCTCATCGTTACTTACTTTAGTTATTACAAAGCTTTAGAAAAAGGACTGCTCAGAACCATTTTTTTTGTTTCTAGAAATATACTATTTTATTGTAAATGCGATCACATCTGTTTAAATGGTTCTACACAAAAGTTCTTTTTACGTCAAATGCAATCATACATTTATAACTTAACCTTTTATTATCATAAGTAATAAATATGAGTGTTTGTGTTTTAAATAATAAATAAACTTTCTTGATCCACGATATAAAGTAAGGCTTACTTTTGACATGCTGACACCTATCAAATATGTCTTGTTGCATGCAGAGTAACATAAGCCCGGAGTGTTGTACTCAAACTCAGTTGTTGCAGCCATATTTTCCTTTTTTATACAGCCTAGAATTTTAAGAAAAAATTTAACGGTTTAAGGTATTTCCCAAAATAATTATGTACACGTAATAATCCTGTTAAAACCTGGTTTTCAGTAACTTGGAAAATGTTGTACTTGATAAAAATAAAGAGACTGTACTATTATATTTATTTACAGATTCTATCAACCTTGAAACTAATCGAGGACTGTTCAAGTCAACATGCATAGACCCTTACATCTCCCTTATCTGTCTCCTTTGTTAATAAATTACTTTCATTTTCAATTTTCTTTGTTTTACATAATTCAATCGAAAACATAGATTTTAACATGTTTAATGTATTAATTGTTTTTTTGTTTTTTTTTAATATTTACCAACATAATGGAAGGCTGTAGCTGCTAGATAATATCCTACCCACACAGCTTCGTTTCCAATAATACTAGCATTCATGGCTACGGGTAAATCTTTCTTTGTTCCTTGGAACATGATTGTAGGCGTTTCCATTGTGCAATTGTTAATTGCATTTTCCCAAGTTGTGTTATATTGTGTAATAAATGCAGCTCCTTTCAAAGCAAGACAAAATATTATACCAATGATGATGCAATTTCTTTTATTATAATACAATTAGGTCTTACGTGTTGTGTTTAGTTGTAAAATCTATTATCATATTTTCTGCTTCTTTTGGGATCAAAAACTTATAGTTTTGACACTGAATACCGCTTACGTCGGTGCCTAGGTGTCTAGGAATTTTTGCACTAATAATTATCGTGCATCAAAGATAATAAATAAAGTCGCGTCAGAGAATTTAAATAATTTATATTTCCTTTATTTGTTTTCACGGGACCTTGCTTTTTCAGATATCTTTTTATTGTTAAGTATAATTAACTGTTCTATTTTGTGGAGATAATGATCTTAAAATACTGAATAAATGATGTATTTTTACTTCTTTATCAATATTATCAAATGAAAGATGACAAATAGAAGTTTGTCACGTGGTTTTTGTTTTTGTTCATTGGGTCACTAGCCACAATTCAGGCTTTTAAAATTTTTTGTTTGATAATGTATTGTTGTTGTTTTGTTTATTATTTCTTCGACAACGAAGACAACTATTGACACATTTAATGAAAAATGGTTCTTTTTTTTACTTCTAACGGTCTGTGATAAATAGAATATTTAATTTGTGTAAGTTCATTACTGAATTTATTGAACTTGTTTGTTGAATAAATTAATATTATGCTCGCCAGAGGCGCGCATAATATCATATAATTCAAGTCGTTCAATAAATACAGTATAAAATTTACACTTATTCAATATCATCTATTATCACACACCCGTGCCGATTTTGCGACTCCGTAAAAATGGTATTGCACGGCCGTGCATATATTTTGACGTGACGTCATTAGCGTTACACAAACATAGTGTAAAGACGCGCTAAATGTTAGCGTTATACTATAAGCGCGTCAATGAAAAATGACTTTTATTTCACTTTAAATGGTCTTTATTTTGGGTATGTGATAAATAGAATATTAAATTCGTGTAAGTTCATTACTGAATTTAGTGCACTCGCTGAATAAAATAATATTATGCTCGCCAGAGGCTCGCATAATATAATTTTATTCAACTCGTGCAATAAATTCAGTATTGAACTTACACTCATTCAATATCCTCTATTTTATCAAATACCCGTGCTGTTTTTGCGACTACCTAAAAATTCGACGTGACGTCATTTCCATGATACAACCATAGCGTTAAGACGCGTTTAATTTTAGCGTAATACTACAGGCGGTCTTTATTTTTTAGTATTTGATAAATAGAATATTAAATTCGTGTAAGTTAATTACTGAATTTATTGAACTCGTTGAATAAAATAATATTATGCAAGAGGCTGGCATAATATTATTTTATTTAACTCGTTCAATAAATTCAGTATTAAACTTGCACTCATTCAATAACCATTTTGTTTTGCTTTTAACGCCGATTATAACACATTTTAGTCATATATCGGCGTTTGGATCACCATTGCATCTTTACCAGATAACCAACCAGAAATATTAATTTTACTGTAATTGACTGACTTTTTATCCTAAATGATTTCTGAATCAGGGCAAAAGACAAATGACAATATGACTCATGGTCTGAGTTTAATTGTTATGGAGAAATTTCGCCTCGCCCGAGGATCGAACCAGCGCCTCAAAATAAATAAATAAAAAATGAAATAAATTAATAAATAAATAAATAAAATAAACCGATGATCTCAATATTGAGCGAAACGGGCGAACCAATGATGTAATTTCTTTTTGTTTTGTTTAAAGTTCCACAGCATATTTTCGCACTATCAAATACTTTCAAATATTTTAATTAATTTACATTTACAATCCATCACTTTTTGCAATCATTAAAAGCAACGAGAAGTTAATAATATATGTTGTAAATTATACTTCATAAATATTGGTTTTATTGGGCAATAATTATGTCAGGTAGTATTTTAGCGACTGGTTATTTTATATTTACAGTACGATTTCATACATGTATCTTAGATATACTTGTGATGGTAAACCCTTACATTATAATAATAAAATAAAACATAAATTTTATTGCGATTTACACGCTTTCTGTCATCTTCTATAAATTCTCACCAGACACACAATAGTAGAAAGTCATGAAATGAAAGAATTCATACAAAAATGGAAATTGCGCATCCGATTAAATCGCCATTGTTTATGTATGTAAAGGATACACATACTTATGAGCCAGAATGTTTGATACACTATTTAAAAATTGTTTGAGGCTAACATATGAAGAACAACATGTAATTGTCAATTAACAAAAACAACCGATTAAACATTTCACATCAAGTGATTATTTTCAAATCCATTAGTGTCATACAGTCATTAGCTTAATCATGTAAAATCTGTAATAATGTGTACTAAACTCCATGTTGAATAAATAAATCACCAACATACGCCAGCCTTAAAGAAGTTTTCACATTTTGTACTTAACTCTACAAATTACTATTTTAATTATTATACTTATGTTACAGAAGGTTATACGTGTACTTAAATCTATGAATTACAAAATACTATAATCTAAAAGATAAAATAAGTTAATACATTACCTTTATATATGTATATCCAAAATACAATGATTAAAACTATGTCAGCCATTTTTGCCATTTTCAAACTATTTTCATATTTTCTTTATTTTCACTTCCTGGTCAGTTTGTGTGTATGGTAAATCAACCGGACGAGGAAAATAAACATTTTATCTTTGTAAAGTGTTAAATTAATTAGTGATGGAAATCGGATGATCTTTGTCCCAATCGATCATCGGTTCAATCGGATGGGAAATAATCGATAACTTTTCGAATAAAGTCGCGTTAAAAAGAAATAGGGAAGAAACAATTCTTCCCGAGGCACTTTATTATATTCAGTTACGTGAAGTTCATATAGCACTTTTCAACACAGTTTTAACCTTATATAGTCATAATTTTACGAAAAAGCTTTTATTTTCCAATGGATGTTAAATAATAACATTCACATCACAGTATAGAACTATTGTTTACATCCCGTATTGATCCTGTTCAAAATTGTCTCTGAGATATTTTCTTTGCGATCGGTGAGATGTGCCTAAAAGGAAATTACCGTAAGAATTAATTCCCTTTGATACTTTAAACATTTTTGACGACGTCGCGGAACAAATTTTTGTGAATCGATTATTGTCGCTTTACAAAACAGTAACTGATTATCGAAGCCTTGCGACAATCGGAAGATCAGTAGTGTTAATAACGTCGAATAATTGATTTTGTGTTTAACCTTTTTCTTATATATTATCAAGAAAAGAATTAAATAAAACTTGCAGTAGTTGTTTTTTACTAAGAATAAAAGTAAAAGGATTCAAGATTAATGTACAAATTTATATGTTATATGCGATTAATAACCGATTTTGCAGTATAATTCACCATAATTCTACTGCGTGACTAACGCAATAAGATATGTCTTTTTGCATATTTTGACCTCTATTCGACAGTTTACGCGGATTGTTAGTAACGTTTACAATGTATTAAATTACTTTCTATGTTCCCTTTACACTATTATACTTAGCGCGAAGCTAGAGGCATGCTGCTTTAATGTAAGATAAGATAAGATAAGATAGATAAGATAGTTTATTAAAGTCTCATCATCGTGTACAATATTAAAACAATACACAATAAAACCTACGACATTGTACATGTACATAAATGCCACTCATAGATGAGTTATAAGAGACTATACATAAGTTTACAACAAAATCTAACATACAGGACATATCTACAAAATTACTTAAAAATAAAACCAAGTATATTTTCTTTTTTAAATTTATGTGAAGTGTTGAGACAACCAGACTGTATTTATTTTAGTTGAAATTCTGTGTAGTTTGTGTTGATATTCCTGGTTGTAAGATTTGAATGGTTATAGCAGTGTACAAGTTTACAGTGTTCCGATAAACGCCCAGATATATGCAGATCCTACACACATCCGAACGTTTAATGTATATAGCATACTATCAACATGAAGGTTGGGCGCTACGTTATTCTCTCTATTCTATGTAACATTTTCTCAATATTATGCTTTAATATTTATAAAAATTTAGAAACTGCTCTTAAGAGTAAATAGGTTGTCAAGTGTACGAACTGTAAGTGCCAGGCCTAAGGCACAATATTTTTAACCACAAAACATTTATAATTTGTCAACGTACGCAGAATTGTTCCTTAATCTACTAGTAACTTTAATAGATATTTTACTCAATACATTCTAAGTTTTACATCGGTTGTAAATATTATTAATATAATTTGCAAATAATAATTATTTAAACTTTAGTCTGATGTTTTGTATTTTACTCATCTAGAGGCGTGTCACTTTAAATACCAATCCTAAAAACAATATAACAGTCATAAAAAACATATGACATCCTTACATATAACACTCCTAATCCTAAAAGCCAACCACATTATATCATGTATCTCCAGCCAGTAAAAGTAAAGAAATTGTTAAATAACTCGTTCTTTTTAAGGAATAGCACTAGAGCGTGATGGCAAGCAATAACAGAGTGTCAATGTATACACTTTTTTTACAGCTTCGTAGCTTATTTATAGGTCAAAAGTGGGCCTTTTCATTTTATAAGATCTGATATGTTATTATCCTGATTATAATTGTACGACATATTTATTCAAATTTGTTTGCTTTCAAGTTTACTAAACTCATCTTTATTTACTGTTCAGAAGGTTTTAGATTTATGTCTGATCAGGGTCCGAGGCTAAATTTCTCAGCTAAGGTATTTTGTTGGTCTGAAACTAATATAAAATGGTCACTGAACTGACCAATTGAAGCAAATCCATAAATGAGTCATAAAAGTCCTGAGATTCGAGACAAAGCTCAGAAGAAAACGTTTATAAAAGGCAATTACCGATTGGTTTCATTTTATTTGAATGGGTTAATCACAATTGGCTATTTTGCATGTAAGCAACACACTATGGTGCAGAACCTTCGACATGTTTTGACAACAAACCAATTATACCAATTTCAGTTTTAGTTTCAAGCAATTATTATTTCAGTATCTAGCGAAGCGAAACATGTAACTTGCCTCTTTTCTTTCTTTATATTATTTGTTTTTCAAAGTGATAAAAATTGAAAATACAGATTGTTGATCAATACTATACCATGTCATTGGAAACAACTCAGTATTTTATCTTTTATTAAAGATGACATTGAATATCAGTCAACTAAGAAATATCTGAAAACATAAATATTTGTTATTAAACACGTAGATACCCAACACATTCATTAGATAATAACGTTTCTTTATTACGTAAATATTAAACGTGAATATGATTATATGGATCTCCGTCACCTTGTTGAGCATTTCCATTACTTTTTCTGACATCACCATACTCGTTTTCAGCACAACTCGATGGTACACCGTAATAATTATCTGTTCTTTTGTTCTTCAGAGCTGCATCACTAATATGAGTGTAAGCATCTTCCTCAATGTCGTCAGAATTGTTACCCTTCATATCATCAATGCCTTTATCATGTTGATCTTTCAGTCTTTTCATTGCGTTCTCTGTCGTGTCATATGCATTGTTAGTATTGTTTCCACGCTTTATATTTGAACTCAATGTGTTGTACTCGCTGTTACTATCTTCATGTCTAGAATTAGCAATGCCATTTTCTACTTTAGGATCTGATTCCTGGCCTTCCAAAACAAAATAAGTGTGAGCATAATGTCCGTTACTTTCAAAGGTATCATTTTTTGTATCGCTGTTCTTTTGTAAAGTAGCATCATCAATCTCGTTATAAGGAGAATCAGTAGGCGTTTCGTAAGTGTTTTTGTGAACTATTGATAAATGTTGTGTTCGCTGTACTGGTTTAGTATTTGTAGGCATTTTAAAACATATGCCTTCAAGTTTTCCTCTGTAAATAAAACACATGCAAATGGATTAAATATCTTATTACTGTCTTTATATATTAGCTCTCGTGACTTATCTATCATAATATCGCAAAAGACACTGAGGTTCTTAGTTAAAAGTCTTTACACTCGTACCAAACATTGAGTTTCTAAACAACAAATGTTTTCAGCACTAACAATGTTACACGAATAGCATTGGTTCAAACTATCAACTTATATTTATTTTTTCGGTAGATATGTTAACCATATCCATACCTAACTAATATGTTTTATATTCCGAATCATATGTTTTTTTGAAATAAATAAAAGTTGAATAACAAATATCACAATCACTTTTAAAAAATGTAGTTTTTCTAAATCATCAATTTATGTATATGAATTTCATTGAAAAAGGAAACAGATTTTGAAATCAAACATTACCTTCTTTTTAAAATAAAAACTGCTACGACCACCGCTACTATAACTAAAACCATCACAACTGAAATGCCAACAGCTACTCCGACATTTGAGCCTATCGAGGACAAAACATAATGTTCAAATGCTTATCTTGATAACAACTGCATGAACTTATTTCTGAAATAATGTACTTGTATATTATCTCGGCTAGTAAAGTATATCTTGTTCACTAACTGCACATTATTTCTTTCAAAAAATCTTAATAGTTACGTATCAACTGAAACATTAACATAAAGAGAATTTTCAACTTGTTACTTTTACAAAAGTGTATTATATATCCTTCAAAATTGTTTTTATATTTCATTTGCGTTTAACACATCATTATTAAAAATATCTGAATCTTGCTAAAAAGCAAATTTTTCTTATGTTTGCTTTCACACATCCATTTAACGTAATTTACTTTTCGAGAAAAAATATGGAAAGAATATACTTATTTCCGTTCTTAAACTCTTACCATTGGATTCTTTTTTAGTTTTTCCTGAAACATCAAAATATGAAAACAACAGTGTGACCAGCGTCTTACATGAATTACAATGTGACCTTCAACTAATTCTCTCAATTTCCAACCCTTGCCATATCCAACAAGCTTTTCGTTTACAGCATTTACTTAAAGGAATTTGATATATCAGACATGATTATCTACGGTTTACAGTGGTGCTAAAATCCCTGCCTTACTCCCCTCGTGTGAGTGAAGTTCCGTGATTTAAAAGACGCCATTCTCTCGCGCCTTTTATGGATAAATAGCGTTAAAATGATGTCATTTTGCCACTATGAATGAAGTTGGAAATTCATGCGCCTCTATAAGAAATATGCTAAGCTCAAATATTACATCAAGAATTTCTTTTAAAAATATGATTTATATGTAATATGCAAGAAAAAGAATCAAACACCGGTTGTTGTCACGGACGCGTTTATCTAGTTCTCGGTTAACAATTACTTTCGAGTAATATATTCGGGTCTGTAAGATTCTTATAGTATTCAACCATACATATTATAACAATAAATCGCGGTGTGGCTAAAAGTAGTATTCTAAGGATTGCTGGCGGAGTGGGTTCAAACCCTGTCATGGTCAAGCTGTTGTTTCCATGAGCAAGAAACTTTTACATAGCTTATTACTGGTTATGGCTTTTAGGATAAATAATAAATTCATATAAACTGAAACTAGTCTATCCTAACCAAACAAAGTTTTAAAGAGACTCCACTGAGGTTTTTTGACATGATGGGACTGAAAATATTTTTCCTGATAAATGTACCATTTGATGTAGGTTTAGACCACTAATCTTTGTGCAAAGTTTCAGATCATTCGTTCACTTCGTTTTTTTTTTTTCAGAATAATTATTCAAAATGTAAAAAAATGACCCAAAATGAAAAGCGTTTTAACGTTTTTCACTCAAATCGGGTTCAGAAGAGCATAAAACTACGATTTTCAATTAATTTCAAAGTATATTTCTTAAGTTTCTCTTCAAATATTTCTATTTAAAGTGCCCCGGCTCATTTACGAAAGAAATTCAAATGATATGTTTTAGGCTTTTTGACCTCAGTGGAGTCCCTTTACTTATCAGGAGTGTTGTCAATAATTCGAAAGAGTGCAATTGTCGTCAATTACAAGACGAATTAAGAAAAATCATGATTTCATTTCATGTAGAAGAGGTTATGGCAGTCTTTGCCCGTAAATACGCTTTGTTGTTAGAGCTTCAAAGGATTATGTATATACATTTTTTAATTATTTTAATGTAACAGTGACATTAAAGGAGAAAAACTATTTTACCGCTTTTACATAGAATTTTTCTTGATGAAGAGACTTTGTCATCAAATTGTAGCAGGATAGTATCTCCTTTCTGCGTAAGATAACCGAACTGTTTTCTGGAATTATTATGTGTAGCAGCAGCATCTGTTGAAAAAGAACATCAATAAAATAATTATTTTTGTTTTAGGGTGTGAGAGGGTTTGGGCTTTACTTATATAATATAAACAATTTTTCTCTAGCATTAAACAAAACAAAAATGTTTCAAATATAGAGAAAATGATTTACAAAAATACAATATAATGTACGTTTGAAACGCATGCTAAAAACATCACATTCAATATATCTTAAATTTGAAGTGTTATAGCCATAAATCCTTTAAACTGGTAAAGTGTTTTATATTTCGTTGACTTGTTTAATCCCACAAACTGGACTGATTATTGTTGTTTGAATAGATGTACTTTTCATGATTCTTGATAATGGATATTCAAATGTTATAAGATGAAAAAAAGTGTGAAAATCTTTAATCTTTTGTTGCTCACGTCACTTTGTTAATTTTATAAGTCAAATTGGAAAATAAAATGATTTCTTCAAAACAATATTTTGTGCAAAAAAATCCTTTACTTTGCCACGTCTATTAGAAATTTGGCAAACATGAAAAGGCGAATTGTCATCTATAATAGTAAGATCCTAGCATTTTCTAATATTTGAAAAAGTCCTATACATTCAAATAGAGTATAAATGTAATGAACAGCTGACTCCTATAAGTTTGTTATCCTGAACCTATCTTGAGCAAACAAATTGAAGGTAACGTCAATCTGAATAATTCGGCTGCAAAGCAGCTGAGTCCTTTAGAACTTTAAAAAATTCGCATGATTTATTGCGGAATGACACGATTAACTTTACGAGTCGTATATTAAAACATTCACATTCATCAGCTTTACACTTCAGGACCAATTTAAAATTTCTTGCTTTGTTGCAAAGCATTTTTATTTACATTTTCCTCAAATGGATAAACGATGATCAATTATCTCCGTAAACAAATAATGGACTGTTCAACCGTCTGCAGTTTACCGAGATTGAATATCGTTGATCTAGGCTAAAATTAATCATGCGTAAACACTTTTCATGCATAAATAGCGAAGGTAAATCTAAAAAACCATAACAAGAAAATTATACTTAATATTAACATTAACAAACATTTTTCATTTTAATATGATCCCGACAGGTTTTTATATCGTCAGGGCAAACAAACAAAATAACATGGTATATATAAACTAAAGGAACCACGCACCGTGTATTGAATAAATAACATCACTTGAAATAATCCCTGTCCATGATGGTGTAAGTCTGTAACGTCCTTTAAATTGTTCTAGTTGCGTAATTGTCGTTGGGGTCATTGAATTTTGCAAGCATAAGTTCATAGCCAAATTCCATTTTGTTGATGTAGTCTTAGTAGTACTAGAAAGTTCTTGAACGGATCCGTTATCTTAATATAAATGAAAAAAAAATATAGTAAATATTACATCACAATTGAAATGTTTAATTTATGAACGTTTTTGAAGGCTATTGACTTTTTGTTTCATAATACTGTTTATATGCACTTATCCTTTTTCTTGTTATCAGTTTTTTACTTTTTTTTCGAGGAAGATGAGTTGAAAAGTATTTAATATATAAAGATAGAATATACTGTCCTGTTAGAAAAGTATTGCTGAATCTTACTCGATGCACATATTGTCTGAATTGTTATTGCGCAACTATTCCAATAGAAACTCTGTACGTTACTGTTTATCTGATACGACAGACACACTCCAACATCGTCTTCATATTTTGCTTCAAACTCTACAAATATGATTTCTTTTTAAAACTCAACATTTTGCCTAATTAAAGCTAGTTGAATTTAGTAAATGTTAAATGTAAATGTAATAATTGTTTAATGTTATAAATGTTTATTACGTGTATATACAACTAACAGGAAAGCGTTTGCTTGATCTTGCTATGTTGGTGAGGTAATTCAAAACACACGTGCCATTAATATTCTTGGTAATGCATCTGCCGGCAAATGCGATATCTAGGCTAAATATAGACAAGGAACGACAACACAGAAAAAGTCAATGTTAGTTAAATGAATATAAATATAAAAAACAAATATAGTAGAATCAGAATGTCTTGATTTGTAACCCCAAAACTACCTGTCATCCTCAAACATTTGTTTTTCTCCAAAATTTCCTTTGTATTTAGTTATTACGATTTCATATTGCTAATGTTTCTTTTGAGAGGGTGTAAAGACTCACCAGTAATACTGAGTTTGTATAGCGACATATGCTCTTCTCCACCACATTCAATATTGGACTGATCTTTACATTCTGTATTACATTTTGTAGCAAAAATGTCTAATCCGCTGATACTGTTCAAACAAAAGCACTGAAATGTTAACAAAATTGATCCAAGTGATACATGAATTTGCCGTACAAAAAGTACTTCTTTGGTAAATATATACATTTCATCGTCCAATTTGTTAATAACACAACTAATGCTTATTATGAAATCACTGTTTGAAAACAAATTCCTACCTTTTTATCATTAATACCTATCACCCCTTTCTTCTGACAAGCCGAAAAGCACAGTCCTGGTGTATTTCGATCGAACTGAGCTAATGCTGTCCCCTTTTCAAGAATAGAACAGCCTGCAATTGATATAATAAATCAGTTAAATTTGGAATAAAAACATTGAAAGAATACTTCCGTGAAATCAACATAAAATGTAGTTTAGTATTCAGTACTAATTGTTGCATATAGAAATGTATTCCGTGTTTGGTTGGGTTTAACGTCGCTCAATACTGTAAATACCATACGGCAATTTTCCAGCTTTACACGTGGAAGTAGACCTCAGATGCTACTCCATCCATTTTTTTCAGGCACAGACGGGCAACTGAGTAGAACGACCAATGTTCCGTTAGCTAGCTTGGTAGCTTGTATGAACAAATCAAAAGTCCCTATAATCTTTTAAACTTCATTTTCATCACGCCATCGATCATTTTCATTACAGACAGTCCGGTTTGTTCAATAATAGATCGTTGTATCGTTAATCGGTCGATAATGAAGGCTTTTTCACGGTCACCCGCACTGTAACTCTGCTCTGTAATATACAGAATTTCGGTCGCTTGCGAAAGTGAAGGCAACTAGTACTGGAAAACTGCTTGACAGCCTGCCCAGGAGCGATTTGTTGGTTCTGGAAAATGTAAATGTAGGTTTATGTCGTGAGTGAAAACTTCCAACATCACAACTACTCATTTACATTACTTAAAAACGACAGCATAAATAACATTGATTTTCTTTTTATCTCCAAGATGTGTCTTTATTTCTATAACGTAAAACCGACAGTTTAATTAAATCAAAAGAGTATATTTTATATTTGGTACACAGATAATTTGAAACGAAACATTCTTACATTATACCCATTGAATAGATTTTGACGACCTCAATCTACTACAACTTAAGCAGTGAAATTAAGTAGCATTCATATTTACCAATATACTCAAACGGCGCAGCAGATAGATAGTAGCCCACCCATACACCATTTTGCTCTTCAATTTTTCCAGAATAGTCTACAAGAAATTCCTTCCCGTTCATGAATGCCTTGTAATTTATCTCGGGCAATGCAACCTGGCAAATTGTAGTTATATCTTTCCATGTTGTCTCATTTTGAGATATAAATTCAGTACCTACAACGTGAAGTTAATTTTCATACTTCTGTGTTTTTTGTCATCATGATTAAAAGGCATCTAGACAGTCAGGTTATGGAATTTGAAATTTGTTTGCAAAGCAAGCTCCTAACGCCGAAGCGTTCAGACAGTGATAAGGTCTATCATTATTCATTTTATCACCCTATCTTCATCATTTTATCATACACGATTTTACAAACGATGACAGAACGACTGATGTTGCTAAATCAGTTCATGTTCATGTCAATAATGCAAAGTTAGAAACGTCCATATTACACTATAACTATCTCATGAAATTATTTTTCCTTACATAAAACGGTTCACTTTTTTATATAAAACTTTCAAAAAAAAAGAAAAAAGAAACATTTACCATATACCATTTGTAAGGTTTCATGTCGTTAAATGTAAACTTAATGTAGCTATTTAACACGATATTCTTTTTGTGTTGAAGAGTATCATTCGTTAAACGGTAACATAAAATCAAAATATCATATAACACAACACAACAAAACGATAGTTAGTAGTCTTTATAATGAACATCTGAAGTTACAACGTTTTTAAACCTCTGGGTGATACTTAATAATTTATGTTAATTTATGTAAATTAATGTAAATTGATGTAATATATTCTTTTCGATTTTGTACATTCCTATCGTAATCTTAGTATTTATTTCAGACGTTTATATTCCACATATTCATTACAATACGCTATCGAATTATTTGTTACCATTATCTAACAAAATGCGGCACATGATACAAGCCAAATATTATTGGTAATGAAACATCCCATACATTTTTATTTAACTTGCCACGATACAAATCTTAAATGGACTCATCTTCCATCAATCTGAGCGAAACTTTTAATCAATTTTGAAGAAAATCCAAGATATTTAGAGACTGAATAGCAAACAGCTCAGACCATGATATGTACTGGTCGCATGGGTAAAAGCAATTGCCACCCGCAAGCTAAAGGCTTAAGTAGTCATAAGTTTCAAGTCTAATACAGGTATATAGAATATATTAATCATTTTGTACGGTCAATTTTGCAATACAACAATGAGTAACACATACATTTCTTCTGAAAGACGCTTGCTGAATTTCTGTAAAATATACAGTGCACTTTCACAACTTAAACCTGAATCAGTGTCTTATTTAAGTCGACAGTGATTCATCTTATACATTTTGGGAAAAAAAAGAAACACTAAAAAAGACCGGTAAGATTAATTATAAGATTTATTTACCTTTAGATAATGAAATCCATAAAATAATCAAATACATGTATACACCAGAAGTGTGCACCATTTTGAACATTTAACTTTACTTTTATGTAACTTCCTTTACGTTTATATTTTATTGAGCTGAAGAAGAAAGTTATAAATTACGTTAAGAAGCTTCAGATAAAAAAAATCAGTAAACAGCCGTTGACTTTATTGGCGGTTGAATGGTTCTTTGTAAAAAATGTAATAAATCTATACACTAATTTATGTATCGTATGAATTTGAAATAAACCGTTCACAAACTAGGTCATGAATTGAAACAAAATTTAATGGGCATCTATTTAATTGCTTTAAATTCTGAAAAATATTAAATGATTTCACCATGCTTTTATACAGTAAAAAATGTTTGGCTTGGGAAAATGAAAGATTAGAGTTTTCCTTGTGAGAAACTTTTTACACGTTATGAAGAACAAAGTTTATGATTAGAGTAGTAATGATTGCAAGAGAAGAAGGAAACAGAAAATATGCACATATTTCAACAAACATTTTAAACTTTGGTTGTTTCCCTTTTGTATGTTGCAGTAGGCTTACTTTGACTAAATTAATTATCAGTTAAAAAATCGGTTCAATTCTCTTGGCCTTATTAGATGATTAAAGACCGAATATTAGAAATGCTGCATTGTACAAAGTTTCAGTCGATCGTGAAATGGTTTAGTAACTAGGGCGATTATTAAATCAAATATATTTTACACAAGTCTTATCTAATTTCTGTTGGAAATTGGGTTAAGTACTTTTGGAATTTGGGATAAAAAGTCAGTTTTCCCACAAAGCCATCTCAACTAACCTTTGAGTCTTAAAAACGTAATTAACTGCAGTTGAGAATCTGTTACTCTTTATAAATCGTTATTTAATACATAATTACGGTCCAAAGAATAGATAATAATTACGCAGACTGATAATTTGTTAATGTTTTGTACTGCGAAAATTTCGTGGTGGTAAAATTAAACTACTGTAACAGTTTACCATTATACACGTATGACTTTGCATTATTTTGTATTTAAAGTCTGATCTTATTGCTTCTAGTAAGATTCCTTCGAGTTTTGCTCCGATCCTCTTTAGAATTCATTCTATCTTACGTTCTACGCTAAATGTAGTTACGTATATGAGGATTCTCAATTCAAAGTATAGCAATTGTCATATCTGAATGTCGGTTTCTGTTAAGTGAAAGTAGATAATATCATGCATGCATTTATTACTACTGTCACACAGCGTGCAACATTTATAATTTGTCATTTTCATTTTTTTGTCTTGAAATGGTCAATTGTTCGACCATTTTGATTTCAATTATGATGATCTTAGGGATGGTAAATGTGAAAGTGACAGATGCTGCTCATTGTGTGATTTACTACTTATATGAAGCATAACACGTCCCTTGAATTCTATAACAAAAAATGGCAAAATTCACCAACAAACAGGAATCTTGTAAATCCTCTTTTTTTGGTAATCGTCTATCATAGTTATGAATATTAAATAGTTATTTCTTTCAAGTTAACAACTGGAAATATACATGTGTTAAGGGTTGAACTTTATATATGAACTATAACAACTTTAATAAATTATTGTTTTCTTATTGTGTGAGCATGTCAATTACAAATAAATTTTAGGATAGCTAGATATAGATGACTTTAGAAATGTAACCAAGGACACACGCAACTTTGTTTACGTTAAACATTTTTTTAAAACTTTAAATTCCTTATCACAACACAATAGTCTATACTTAAAAGTAATCGATGCTTATGCGTATTTGTAAATAGTAAACATTATAACATTTACTAGGACTTGAAGAAGCGGAAACATAAAAAAATAGTTTTGATAAATAATTGTTTGCAGACAGAATGCAGTAATTATTTGTGAAGCATTTGTTAAAACATTGCACTAGAACAGCATTATAAACATGAAACAAAACTATATTAGCTTTTCATGCTGCAACACGTCTATAAAAATGAACATTTCATACACAAGGAAACAATGATAATCATAAAGATCACATATATATTTTACCAACCTTTATCATAAGTAATTAAAATATATTGAAAGAAAAATGAGTCCTTCAAATACACAATTATCTACATCATAAGTTATTTAATTGAAAACAAAATGAGTCTTTTAAATACACTACTATTTTATAGGTCTTCAGCATACGTTATTACAAACATACTGAATAAACGTGCCTTTTAAATACAATATTATAATAAAGATCTATTTCATAAGTTATCAAAAATTACTGAATAAATGAGTATTTTAAATACACAATAACTATATAGATCTACAGCATGAGCCAATCGTAAAGCATCACTTCTCTCATCCCGTGACGAATTCTATTTTGTACTACTTTGGAGAGATTTTTTTTGCACAATATTAGGACCAAAGCCTTAACCTTAGTAATATGTCCGGGAGACTTCCGCGTGGAATGGTCGTTTGTTTGTACATTTGTTCTTTCTGTATATAAAGTGTGTAATAATTTGTATAAAAACAGCATAATTTTAGGCTAACCGTTAAAGCATCATTTGTCTGATACCGTTGCGTTCGTTTTAGTACTAATTTGAGGGTCTTCTTTACACCTTATAAGGCCTAAAGTCCTAACGAATGTCAAATGTCAGAGAGATTTTCTCATTGCTATAATTTGTATAAATATTCGTAAAAAAACACCATATTTTCGAGCTTACCTTAAAACACAATTTGTCTGATTCAGTTGCGGTTTCGTATTTTTGTATTAATTTTGGTGGTCTTCTTAGTGGCCGATTAACCGGACTGTTATAGTAGTCGATATAAATAGAAAAGATAATTTACTCAACATGTCACACGTCACAACAGTGGTTAGGTTTGAACGAAGGTATATTACGATAACAGTAAAAAGGCAGGGAATGTATTAATACACTATTTGTTGAAACGTGGGGGTGATCTTTACATTTTTACTTGTAATGGATAGATATGGATATATTCCTTTTTTTTGCTTATGTTTTAAGAGATAGAATAATAACATTTATGCACGCATATGTTGGCGGCATCTGGGAGGGCTTAATGTTATGTTGCTAGAACTTGTTGCCCAACCCATTTGCTTTTCGTTGCAATATTATAATTATACTCATCAGTTGTGTAATATTTGACATGTATCTGATGCAATAAAATATGTTTAAACTAAACATGTTGGTCATTATTTTGCGTTTTTTGTAATATTAACCAGCGTACAGTTAGCCTTTACCTTAGTTTTTATAGACTTGCACAATCTCATGTGTTATACAGCGGTATAAATTATAATTAAATTGAATAATAAGAAGACGTTGATATTAAAACCACAAGTTCAACAAATGATGTTGCTAGCTTAGAGTTCTATCCACGAGCGAAACGTAATAAAACGCCGTAAATATTACACTGCATAAGCAGTCAAGTTAGTAAAGTGAATGCGCAGTAGTTCTGTACTGTAAAAGTAGTTTCGCAAATTCTGACACGGATGATTGTGTGTCTTGGTAACAAAAACAGAGAAAAGTGCACAGTTGTGACATACGGTGATAGATATCGTCTAAACGCGAATTTTCTAATGTTTTTCTTGTAATGATAATTAATTTTTTAAATTTTAATGATAATTAATTGTTTAAATTAAATTTATTTTACTTAGTAACATACTTTGCGAACATATGCGACGTGAATAATTAAGCCTTTTAAACTTATTTTTGTCTTTGTTAAACCTATATCTAAGTTATTTAAGTTATGTGGAGTCTAATACATATTTACATGTGCAACCAGATAAATAACAAATATATTTTACGGTTCCTACTGCCTTGGAAGAAAACATTAAAATACAGGCCCTGCTTATAAAGATGATATAACGTCTTATCTTATTTACAGATGAAATAAAAAAATAATTTACCTGTAGTGTAAGATATCCACAAGAAGATATAAAATACACCTGTAAAATCCGACATTTTCTGTAGGTTTGTAGTTTACCAACTAACTACCTTTACCATGTCTAATTTACAAGGAATTTATAAAGTTTAAAACTAAAATAAAATCTGAACAAATAATCCTTTATGTGGAGTGATTGTCAAATACAATACGTATTTACTAACATGAAATTACTTTACTATGCATCATAAACCTCTTTCTTATTATTTAGAAAACTGATAGGGAAAATAAATTCCGTATTTCTGATATAATCTTGGTGTCGACCTCATCCTAGACAAGGAAAAATAAATAAAATAAATTGTTGGTAAAATAACATTCTGTAATTTGATATAGACGCAATTCTCTTATTAGTGCGTTTACTTTATTAAAAATATGTTTTATTTCTGTATATAAGATATACTATGCTCAAATTTGATATAAGAAAATCCTGTTAATTGATAAAAAAATATTTTTGTTAATATGAAATAAACTTTTTTGATTTCACACATAGAAATTATTTTACGTTTTAAAATCTACACACAATACTTAGGTCTTCACAATATGTATATATATAGTGTCATTAAAAAAGAGTGGCAGTTTCAACTTAACTTAACCTGTAATAGGTAACGCAACATCAATATCATACATTCTTTTCTTAAATTCAAATTAGACATCTTTAGTACGAATTTAATAGACTTCAATAAATGTCTGTTATTAAAATATTTCATTTTTTCATTTTAGGATGAGCATAATATATCTTTAAAACTTATTAACATATAAAAGGACTAAACAATTTGAATGAACAATAATGTACACAGATAAACTGTCTTCTATCTAAACATCTCTTACATTTTCAAAAGAATTGCAGGAAGGAAAATCAGCTTGCCTCACACAACAATATAAAATGACGGCATTTCCGACTATAACCACGCTTTTTTAATTGTCATATTTACCGAATTAGGTTGGGTCATTGTCGTTGTGTGGCTCCGATCTGTTCCTTTGGAAGTATGACGGCGGAATTAATTATTTTTCATAAACCAAATTCTTGTCCTTGTTGAAAGTGTTAAGTTACAACAACTAAAAAAAGGTAAAAGAGGGTTCATTTCCCTCACTTTGTAATCTTACATTTTCTTGTCACACACACATTTACTAGGACGACAATAAGTTGAGTTTTTGTTTTTGTTATTTTTCTGTATATTGCCTGTTGTCTTGTTGTAATACCGCAATTATTATTATTATTAACATTTTCATTGGTTGTCTGTCAACTCATTTTTGTTTGAGGTGGCGCTTGCTCGCGCAGTCGTCCTTCTTCTTTTAAGGTAGTTAAATACAGCGACTATAGATAAACAAACTTATTTCGTGTTTAATATTAACATCTATATCACTCTTATAATACCATTGTGATATTAATATAACATTGTCATCTTGCTGCCCAGTAATTACAATGTAAATGTATTTGGTACTTTAATTGCAAAATTCTTATAACCACATTATCTCTTTGAAGTGTATGATATTTTAAAAATGCATGATTAAATATAGGCGACAAGTTCTTCCTTTCACCCGCATAATGTACAACCTTTTTATAGCCACTCATAACCTTTTCAAATACACTACAGTATTTTAAATCAATACAGTTTTGTGTAACTTTGGCTATGCACATATTTCTTTTAAACTTCAGTTTATAACGTACTTGATTCATTCCAATCAGGAAGAAATCAACTAACGATGTAAGTTTAAGCATTGTTATAAAGATTTGAAATGTCACGCAAATCATGTTTATGTTGGATTATTCTATGGAGTGCTGCTTGGGCTGGTAATGTATCTTCTTTTGATATTACATTTTTAATTTACGACAACATTAAACAACATCAATCATCGTGAGCGTTGACACCTTTTAATGCGTTTATCTAAACGTGCATAATACGTTATTACAATATATTGTCGAGGAAATGAATAAAACACTAAAATTAGAAATTGATACTGAAACATAAAATTTATATTAAGAAATAATAAATCCCAAACAGTGATTTTACTACTCAATATAATCACTGTTTGGAGTTCGGATGCGATGAATCATATCACGAGGGCGTAGCCCGGGTGATATAATGATGCGGATCAGAACGACAGTGATTTTATCAAGCGATGAAATCATCGATTTGGATAAGTTATTTCGATTCTAACACGACACCAACAAATAAATGCTGCCGTACCTGATATAAAACTAAACAGCGCCTGATTTGTTTCCGTACTTATTTTCAGCGCGTCAAATTTTAGTGGTTACGTCACACGTATAATAATTACGTCACATGTCTAAATATAGAACGACAAACACTGATTTTATTGCAAAATACTACACACTTTTGGTTAATAGGGATAAATGCGGGTCGTGTTAGAATAAGAAATAATGTAATTTAATACAAACTCATATGGACATTGCGAAAAATGTTATGCACATACTGTCAAAATTATAGGATATAATACATGTGCATTTTTATATCTTACCGGAGAGATAGGTCAAGCTAGCTTTTAGCATAGCTCCGTCGGTTACGCTGCCTGTCCATCATATCTTTGGAACGCATAATAAAGACACTGAAACAAAAGTCATGCGGCAACATATTTTAGTACAGAGGATGTTAAGATTTAATCTTTAAATTTGTTTATTATAGTCTCAGCTGACATTCTCTCAAATGAAAGCATGACATGGTTTGATGCAAAGGGAAGAGGTAACTTTGCAACACCCAACATACTAGTGAATAGTTCAACATTTATCGTAAATATATCAACAGACCTAAATGATAACGAGGAAGTGTGGGTTGGATATTTTAAAAAGGGGACGGCATTTGCGTACATTGGTGAGTACAAATTATGTTTTGCAAAAATTCCGCACTAAAGCAATCTGATTTAGAATTATTTAAATCAACTGAATTGACACAATTGAACTACAATAACATTTTGTATAAATATATGACAAGATAAACTTGATATAAATTTTGTTTGTATAAATGAATGATGATCAACTTTTAAGGTAATTAGCTTTTATTTTTTCAGAAGGAAGGGGAAAACGTGACAAACTACTGTCATACTACTATTTTGATGCAGAATGTATTTTCATAATTAGGTGTTTAAAGGGGGTATTGGTTTACGCCAGTTATACTCGATATATAATTCTAACGAAACATACTTTATTGCGTTTAAACTTTTATGTTAATGAATTAAATGTTTTCCGTTAAAGTGACATTATGCCCATCCAAGGGTATAAAGTGAGTGAACTGGTGAAGGTCAAAGTAAGTTTTCATTTTGCAATAATTCCTTTTAATTTAATAATCAAGCTCAAATAAATAATAAATAATGCACAGATCCAAACGAAATTTCTCCTAAATATCCATTATAATTTACCTATAACGCTAAGTTTATAAAAAGAGTGGGGCAGTCTTTTTATATTTAAGCCAGATTTATAATTTTATCCTTAACATTTTCCAATATCAACTGCTGGTCAAACACCATTTTGACAGTCAATCTTTTGAAATATAAAGTCTATTCAGCTCAGCTTGACTTTGAAAATATAAGCATAATGTCACTTTAAATTAACATTTTCACCAAAAAATGTTTATACATTTGGGTGAACATTTAATACAAGACTTTGTAATGTATATATAGGAGCAAGTGAAAAAGTTGACATATGTATCAACATTGAAAACACGATTTTTAAAAATATCAAAAGGAGCGAGTAATGAAGCTGAAGCTGAAGCATATGTAAGGATAAAATATAAAAATATTAAAAATATTAGTAGGAGTACGTTAAGAATTGACATGTGTGTAATAATCTTATATACAATTTTTAAGTATCATTAGGAGCAAATTATTGAGTTGTCTTTTTTAATCACATATACGGAATGATAAATCTGTGACGGTAATTAATACAGTAATGAAGTATAACAACTTGTTGATACAAATTTCAGGATGTGGCTTTATAAACAATGCAAAACCCACAATATTGTTACCGGAATCTAGAAATTCACCTGGTCTTTGCTATTCGATGTGCAATAAGTATTACCATCAATATATTGGATTGAACAAGGATAAGGTAAGCTTTCAAAATTACAGAAGCAAATACCGTATTTTCAATACTCCCAATCGCTTTGTTTTGATATTCTATTGTTATGGCAATGTGCATTATGTTTTGCGAACATTAAGTTGATTTTCATTATAATAAACATTAAGGAATGTTTTGTCATGGTCAATTCATCGTCGTATATATATACAACAATAGTATAGATATGTATAATAGTATTTTGCAATGCCTGCGGGTAAAAATGAAACTTCTTTCTACACTTTTCTTGTTATAGTGCTTTTGTATGAAAGAAAAACCAATTGAGAACATAAGTTTGCCCGAATGTGATATTTCACCAAATGGAACTTGGGTAGCTGGCGGAGGCAGTGAATATATGTCAATTTACGAAAGGCTGAAGACAGGTAAGCTAAATATTCATTTAAGTTAAGCATCAAAACTTTGTTTTTGTTTTTTTTCCCGGGAGATGTTGTGTTAATTTAGCGCGGAATAAGGTAGTCTAGTACTGGTGTAACTCTCCAGGAACGATGGTTGGGAAACTACCCGCTATATGACTGATATACTGTTGGAAAAAGGGCGTGAAATGAAACAAACTAACAAACATCAAAAGTTTTTATGTTCTGCATTACATGTATGTATATTATGTGACTGCTTATTTGTTAGGAATGTGCTCTTTGGTATAACATTTCACCTTAGTATTTCTTTTTATTTTGAGTGTTGTAACGTATAGTCATAATATGACTATAAGTTGTATTAATGATTATGAACATTCAAAAGTAAGCAGGATATTCTGTTAAATAGAGAAAATAAAAATCCCTAAAGGAAGTCCAAAACAACAAAAGGCTCGTTTTGATTGAGCCTGTTGATCGTCGGTACTGTCAGTGCAAACAATCATCCACTTCTGCCGAATGTCCTACTAGCAGATCATTCGGTAAAATATTAATGTCCTGCAAAATGACTTGCCAGCAGGAAATTGGGTAAATTCCACTGTCCTGCTGAATGTCTTATGTCGATCTTTGTAATTTTTTGAATAATATTTGGATATTATTATATCAAACGTCTACTACATTTTTTCTGAGGTTTGTTTGAATTTCAGAAATGAATGTAGGAAGAAATAAGGACAATGAAGAGTGCTTAATTTTTGAAAGTAATTATAGACTCTGGTGGAGCGACTGCCATCATAGTTATCTATCGTTATGTTTAAAAGGTAACAGTTTTACGTATTTCGTTAAATAGACATTTTATAATTCTAAATTTAATGAGTATTAGGTATCACAATTTATGTTGAGTAACATACATGTTTACTTAAAACTTTCCGAATATGATGTACGGCCAGTGGTAGTCTGAGTAGCCAAGAAAAAAATCAGTCACCAGTAATAAAATTTATTATCAGACCTAGATCTTTTTAATTATGTATAAATAACGTTCATCGACAAACTATGCATTTTTTAGAACGATAGTAAAACAACGGGATAAAGTCAATAACATGATGGTTCTTTTACGAGAAATCAGAACTCAAAAATTGCAAGGCAGTCTGAAACAAAACAATATTAGTGTGTTTTTACATGTACCGTAACGTAAAATTTGGTTAACTCAAATCTTTATTTGGTAGTTATTCCTGAAAATGCAGTCATCGAGCAACAACATAACAATGTCAACATCCATGATTTGTATAAGTGTAAAAGAGGTTAAATGATATGTTTAGTGACACTGTGGAATATTTCCTAGAGACAAGCATTTTGCTTAAGTACATTCCTTATTTTGTGCAAATTGTATAAGCTGTAAATTTACAGTCTGGAATTTCTTGCACTATAGATCCGTAATCTTATGTTTGCTCGTATTTCGCAATTATTTAGAATTATTTAATTTAATTGTATTCTTCAGTTATGTATTTGAAAAAAAAAAAACAAATATATAACAACAGAACTTTTGTTTGTTTGTGGTATAATTTGCGAGATTACTGTTTGCAGGGCCAACTCGTTGAAATTTAATTCCAAAATTCACAAAAAATACAAAAATAAAAATAAGTTAAATAATTAAATAAACAAAAAAAGATTAACAAGTTCAGTTTGTACGTATTTTAGGCTTATGCAAATAAGTTTCAGTCAAAATTGATAAGTCTAAATAGTTTACATGAAATGGCGTTGATAGCCTAAAGTTTTAACATAGTTTGCTCTAGAATTTTAAATAAGCAATTCTTAATTGAAAATGTTGCTCATTACTGTTAAATTATGACGTTTTACTATGTGCTTTATTAAACACAATACATCGGCTTTGATAGTTTTGCAACTCTTCAAAATAAGAAATGTTTTTTAATAGATTGATCGAGTTTGTTTTTCGTAGAATTTCACTTATCTACTATTGATGTCAAAAAACACAATATGAATGTATATAAATATTCTCGTTATCATGTACAATAAACCAAAGTACTTTGTCTGCTTCTACTGGGATACTTATTAAAGGTTGTCAACTCTGTCATTTTACTGTATGATTTATCGTCACCATGCTTAGATTATTGTTTATCATTTAAAATATGCAGTTATACTACTCAACTTTTGCTAAGCACCATATGTTTGAGTGAGAATATTTTTGGGATAATTTTATTAACGCCGTGCAAGATGTTTTAAATGTTGATTTACTGTTTTATCAATTCACTTGCAGGACGAATTTAACCATATAAATGAGTTTTACAGAAAAAAGGATTGACCCTCTCTTTGAAGATTTCAGAACATGCAGCGTGTTTTCAAAATTTTGTTTAATTGGATTTTTGTTGACGCTCATTCCACATGAGTTCTATTGGATTTTAGTCAGGTATGCGAGCTGGCCAATCAATGCGCTCAATAGACTCCTTTTCTAGGTAGTCATGGATCACCCTGGTCATATTGGGGCGAGCATTACCGTCCATTAAAATGAACTAATTGCCGAATGATCCAGCATACAACAGAGCCTGGTTGTCTAAGATGTCGTCTATGTATCGCTGATCTGTCTTATACGCTACACTTGTGGTGATATAAAATTTTTATTTTATGCTTTTCAGTGGATTACTGATTTATCCGTGAAAATTATATTTGATAATTTCACAGTGAAAATTATCAAAATATAATTTCACTTTTTTCAATGACTAAACTACTTTTTAAGATTTTCCCCATGTGGTACCTCAATTTTATTTTTACCGACAATTCTGACAATGTCAGGCTGTTAAAAGAAATAGCAAAGCTGAAATAGATAAATAACTTAAATGTCAAAAGTAACACAGAGAGAAAACTTACTTCTATTCCTTCAAATTCCAATCACCAAATTTTGTCTCTAAATTTTTTTTGTTTCGTTTTTACAGTCTGAAAAATACATTCCTTCCCCATGCAAAACGGGCTCTTGATGACATTTGGGCATATTAAAGTATCCTACGAGCAATAACTGCCGTATGCTTTATGAAAAATTGAAAAGCATTGACAGCCATCACTCGTAAAATAAGTTAAAACAACCCAGCGTTCCTTCAGCAAGCTTCCAATTTTTCCATTTTTCTAGCTCCTTTTCTGAATGTTTTCACTTCTGTCAACACTTATTTTTTGTCTGTTACAATCCTCAAATAAGTTTTCTTTCTTTTAAAAAGGTGTATGACTAACAAATCCAAATTATATCCTTCTGAATCTTACACAATTATTTTCCTCCCATGAAATACACAACTTTAAAAAATGGCTGCCGTTTACATTTTAGAAAGCCAGGTCTAATATAAATTCGCAGTAAGTAACAGAAATATGGATGGATGGTTGGAATTTTCTCCTGCAAGAATTGTTTGTTTTTATGATTAAAACAAGCGATCATTCATATTTTTTTAATAAAATGAATAAATATCACCGTCATTTAACCTTGATTGGCGGACTTATTTTTCAGCTCAAGACTTCTTGTTTTAAATGAGAAATTCCGTCTAAATGGGGCTCTCAATGGGGGAAACAGATTTTAATATTAACGTTAAAATTATGGAAATTTCGTTTTAACTTGTTTTTAAGCATAAAATAAAAAGAAAATTTGTCTGTTTGTTGTGTAAGATGTAATTTTATTTCATCTCGTGAACTTTAAAAACAGTATTCTCACTCGTGGCTACGCCACTCGTGAGAATACTGTTTTTAAAGCTCACTCGATGAAATAAAATTTCATCTTACACACAAACAAACAAATATCCTCTATATCTTATTGTGTTTAGCAAAAGTTGAGGTATATATTTATAACATATCTGCGTATATTTTTGGCCTTTGCTATATGTGTATGTACTTATATCGGTGAAGTAGCTTGATTTGAATGTATTGATTCTTGATTTATTAAACTTTGTATATAAAAAGACATATTATTTTAATCGATATCAATAACATTTACATAGCTCGGGGGACTGAATAATATTCAGTGAACATGTCTAAAATTTGGTATTTTGCAAGGTAAATCTGTTGAATATTATGATACAAAAATCACTGCAGGGAGAAGCCCAGAATTAAAACATTTATCATACGTAATAATTATCAATTTACAATTACCTGGGTACTGTTTTGACCGGCTTAGATAATATCGACGGTCCGGACCTTTAGTTGGGAAGACGTTCGAATTGTTTCAAATATAGTCCAGTCAGTCTGTAAATCGACCTCAAACAAATTGCAACAGAAAATATTTTACCTGGTATAGAAAGTATATGGAATAACATGAATCATATCAAAAGTCTAGCAAAATCTAAGTTGCGCAACATAGAAAAAAAACGGGTTTTTAGCGCGTTATTTTTTGTGATTTTTTTCTGACGACAACGGTCTTCCATAGGCGAACAAAGCGTCTCCGATACTCAGAATAGCGACTGCATAATGGCGACAACAACAACAAAATCAGTGTAAACAAAATAAATGTCAGTAAAGTACATTGTAAAGTGGGTTGGTATATTTTCCTTAAAATATGACAGATCATAATAGCAATTATTAATCTGGGGTCGTAAGTTTATTATGAGTATTTGTTGAAAATTATTACTTGCTTTACCAGTTCGTTATCCGTTGAAGGTCAACAGGTGTTTCAAGCGATCTGTATTATACTTTTCATGGAAAACAGTTTAATTTATATAAATTACAACTCTGATTAACTCCTGTCTTAGTAAACATTCAAAAACGGCCTAAAAATGTGTATTTAAAACAAGTTAATTTCGACAGTATTTTTAAACTATGGAACGCCATTATCACTTTAATTATGACGAATTACCTTAAATAATTTCTGAATACTTTTATCATGTTTTATTGTTAAATGTGTATTCAAGGTTGTTTTTTGGTTGTATTTTTTAATAGTTTTTTTAAAATTGCTTTACATATATAAAGTATGTAATGTTATTATTATTTCAGGGGTACCGCTTTGAGGTAGTCTTCATTGATTTTGAAAATAAAAAAAATCCAGTAAACTATATGTACACTGAATGAGTAAGTTTGCTTTCCTGTGCTTACATTTGTAATATTTTTACATATGTAACACAAATATCAAACATTATCTTTTACTAGTTTAAGTGAATATTAAACATGGATGAAATAGAGCGTCGTATGCATAATTCAATATATCTGAAATTATTTTCAGTTTTTAATAGACATAGAAGAAATTTATACATGAAAAGGTGACATGAAAAATTTATCAATAAACAAACGTAATTTCTAGTTATGGTTCATGATTGGCGATGTGTATAAGTTCAAGGTGAACATGCACAGTTGAACCATAATTTAAAAGAAAATCTTTTATGCATACAATAGCACCTGCGCGAATTTGAAAAAGTGCATTACGTGTATAAGATTAATTCACAGCGATATATTAGTATTTCTTTCGGAATGCACACCTAAGTTTAATATAGTATAATTTTATCACTTTTAAAATCAAATTTAAGCAAATACATGTAACAATAAAAACATCTGTGTATTCTATAGAACCTTGTTTCACGTAAATATGAAAGTAAGATTCTAATCCTTTCTAACTTGAAGTAATTTCTATGTTACAGATTTTATCAACACACCAGAGCCAATGGGTATGCCCGATCTTGAAAGTGTTCTGATGACACTGTGATGTATACAAGTTAAAGGTAAAGATGCATAGTTGAGACATTTGTTTCACAAATCACTTTAATGATATTTTTCATATAAGCAAACTTTTAAAGTGTGTCATAAGTTCCATGTAGTACTATATCAGTACACATATTTTTGAATGCATGCACAGATGGGCATTAGAAATGCTTAAAATTGAAATGTCACATTTTTAAACTCAATATGTGACTTTATCTTTACGTTACTTCCAAACACTTTTACCAGTAGGTATTTTATATTGATAATTTTAGATTAAAACCTTAGAAAATAATAATAATATCTGTCATATATGCAGTTCGGATCGGAATATCCGTCCCAAGGTGACCCGCCCATTGGGCGGTAACGAGGCTGTCGAGTTACCGCACATGGGCGGGTTACCGAGGGACGGATATTCCGATCCGAACCGCAAACATAT